TCACATAGTTCAAAAGCAAAACAGAATGTCTTAACTATATAAAGAATAAAAGTAATTTAAACAGGTACAAAACAGGTATAAATTTTCAGGATTAACAAGAGGACAAAATCACTTCCCCAAATTTCTAAGATACCCAGGACTAGAAAAGGGTATCTAAACACACACACACTCTTTCACTAGAGGAATGAGAATGATCTTGTAGATTGGCAGCAGAAGGTTGAGTATAATTTGAAGGAAAAGCAGAACTGAAATTGAGTCTCAGAAGAACCGCAGAGAAACTGAAAGAAAGGTTTTCCAGTCAGGAATGTTCTCATTCAAAGCCTAAAGGTAGAAATGTTAAGGTTAGCCATAGAAAGAATTGATACTCAAGAGATCAAATATGCCTTAATGAGCAAGATAAAACAAAATGAGTTTTCCTTTCCTCTCACCTTCTAAAACAAAACACTCAAAGTTCTATAAATGGGAATAATAAATTGACAAAAAAACTTTTTCCTAAAATAAATGTAAGAAAACTTTCAGTTGAAATTTCTAAAACTCTAAGCATTTTTCTCACTCCCAAAGGTTATCGAGTTCATGTTGGGATATCAGAAGTTGTTTCTTATTATAGGGAAAATAATGGACCAGGCTACTCTTAAAGGGCTTTAATTTAGATATCTCTTAACTATTAAAAAGTCATTGTGAAACACACAATGCTTTGTTTCACCTTCTTTTCTGTCTCCTTACTGAAGCATATGAATATTAGGAAGCAGGAAATAGAAATCACCTATTTTCCTTCATCCCCCATCCCTCTGCATAAGATAAGCAGCAATTCTAATAAAGTACAAAGTAAAGACAATATCCAACAACTAATTCAGTAGACTTTTATTGCTCTTTCAACTTCAATAACATCTCTAAAAAATAATTTTCTTCTAACAATTATGAAACAAATTTGAAAGGCAGGATCGTTCACATTATAGACTTGGTAGAGACTTGTACTTCATATAAATGAAAAATACCAGTTCCACGTTTTAAATGTTTAATTTACCTTGTATTTTATTACAAAAGAAAATATTATCATTGTAATTATAAAAGTCATAAAAATTAGAACTGTACTGTGAAATTATACCAAGCTATCAAATACTATATAAATGAACAATAAAATTCAATTTCTATTTATTCAAACATAGTAAACATTGGAAGATAACCCCCCTACAAAACAAACAAAAACCCCCCAGATTTTTAATATTAAAGCAACAAAAGAAAAGCCACAACACAAAAATCAATGCACAAAATCTGATTAAAAAACCACTAGGGTTTAACAATTACTATAAGTCAACTGTAGAAGTCAGTATGTGCTAATTAAAGTTTAAAAATGATCTTTAGATGATTCCATTTCCAACTACATGTTTTCCTATTATTGATACTTATATTACTTTCTGATGTTAGAAAAGAACCTACTTTACATTAAAATTGCCAAATTTTGAATTTTGAACACTATTTTTAATTTTCAATATCCTTAAAATCTTTAAGCTTACTTTCTAAAAAATAAATAATTGTTGGACTAAACCAAAAGACATTTCACACATTTGCATTATATATGATAACAATGATGTAATCTACATAAATAAATTTAAAACATTAAGTTATTTAATTTAAACATTTTTGAATTACAATGTTGTATCAATGGCTTACACATCCAAAATCTGAGCACTTCAGAACAGGATTCACATGTTGAGCACATTTAAAGAACTGACGTACATGATATGATCCTTGAAAAACAGCAAGCTCTGGTGTAATACCTCAGTTTCAGAAACGATTTTACATTTTACAGAACTTTGAACCTGTCTTTGTGAAAGGAAAAACTTAGAAAGCTATTATATACATACATAAACTTGAAGTATGAGGAAGAAACAGAAATGCTTTTTGGATGGAGAAAACAAAAATTAGTAATTTTGAGTGGTGAAGAAACCTGCTTTATAAATCCATGCATTAGCACATAAATTTTGTCCCACGTTTTACAAAGACTTGGCAAATATGAACACTGAAACGCCACAGCTTTTTTCAACAACTGAAGAGATTTAAGATTTTTAACATCATTCTCTCTCTCTCTCTCTCTCTCTCTCTCTCTCACACACACACACACACTAGAAAGACTGTGTGCTTCACTTCACCATATCTAATATTATAAGAGAATATATAGAATCATCCTTTTATCATAAGGAAGTTCATTGTTTCCTCAAAAGCTGCTATTTTAGAGTGAAATAGCATTCAAAAGAAAGTAAATTTCAGATGGTCAACATCAGGATTTATTATAGTCTCTGTAAACAGACATCTATAAATAAATAAAATAGGGTGGAGAGAAGAATATCCTGAGGTGGCTCTGTAGCCAGGGTATTCAGTAGCACTAAGCTCCATCCTGGAAACCAAGGCATCTAAGAAAGTGCAGGGCTGTTTATATTAATTTATTTTGTAAATGGAGTATGTACAGGTTTAATTATTTTGCACCTTGAGGTAAATCAGTACACTGCAATTACTACTGCTCATTTACACCTATTTAAGGCAACATTTAAAAATTAATATTATGTAGTAAATTTTTCACTGTCTCACAATGAACACTATCCATGATTGTTATTGTTCAAAAATAGTGGAAAAATATCATAAACATGTAGAACAAGCAGTTAATTACTTAATAAACATGAGTTACCTTTGCTCTTCAATGGAGTAGTCATATCAGATCATTTTGTAAGTCAAGTAGTCAAAAGAAAGCAGAAACCATTAACAATTAGAAACAGTAAAAACATTTTTGAGTGCAAAGTATTTTGCAAGTCATGGTTTTTCTGGCACTGGACAATTACTATACATAATTAAAAAAAAAATCACAGAAACACTATGATCCCAGGTAGTTTTCAGTTTAAATTTTAAAATCCCTTCCTGTAAAATAAGCACATTTGTTAACCCTAAGATGTCCAGACACAAAGAAATGATGTGAGGAAATCCCCTTGTTCAGGTACATCAGGGGAGTTTACAAAATATAGCAGCAAATACTGGGGTCTTTGGAAATGATTATGCTGCTATGGATAATAGAAATCATTTCAATGGAAGCTCATAAAGAATAATAAGCACCGTGGGTAATACTCGATTATCAATTGCCAATAGAGTCTAACTCTTTTCCAGGCAGTACCAAATGATGCCTGCTCTATTTTCTAAAGAAAAGTAGCTACATTTCCAACTTCTCATTTGAGGCAGAGTCTAATCCTTTATTTTAACTAGAATCTGAAAATATGGTCTCAGATGGGGAAATTATATCAGCCACCAAGTAGTTTAGAATGGATTAAAAACACTTCAGAATTGCTAAAATATCAGCTTTTGGAATTCCTCATGATCCTCTATAAGATCAATTGTTCATACTTTTGTACTTTAATGACAAATGATTAAAGGGAGCATTGGAATTTCATTAAAATTTTCATCCTAATATTCATGTTACAATTTCGGTATTTCTGTGGCTTCTCAATACTCATTTGGTTTTTGTAAATTATCCTCTTGCCAAATCACTTTCACAACCCCATTCATCCAGTCCTACAGGCTTAACAAGAATAACATTTATTTATTTCATGTAGAGCTAAGAGTATATAAAAGATGACTAAAAAGATTAGCTAGAAGTTAAAAAGATAGCTCAGAAAAGCAGAAACTAAGTAACAAATACCAACACAAACTAGAAAGAATGCCATCAATCTGAGCTATACATAAAATGTCTAAATTCCTTTTAAAATACAAATATGGCAGTGCTTTATATCAAAGATGTAAAATCTGTCAACTGCTTTCAAAGATAATAAACCATAAATGCAAGTGAGCACCAACTATTTACATTAAGAATTTAAATTATTCTGTATTTGTTACCTTTTCAAATGTTTATAATATTTAAGTATCATATCAATTAAAATAAATAAAATAGTTTAAAATGAGATCACAGATAGCAATCTATTAAATATTATCTATACCATAGAAAGAGTAACAACGTAAACAAGAAAGTGAAAGGTACTTCTTTAGAATAAAGTAATACTGATCATAAACCCATTAAGAGAATTGTGACTCCTGATTACTTAGTCATATTACTTGTAATAAAAAATAATCAAGAACTTGAACCTGATATAAACTTAACCACACTTTAAGTAAAAGCAAAGGCAGAAAACAGAGTGGGCATTCTGGGGCTCTTATAAAGCATTAGGATTCTACATTAATTTCTACAAAGGCAACAAAATTTAACTATTATCAATTGGCATTTTACAGCTTCTAAAATCCATAAAGTTATGACTGGTATGGCGTTAAATTATAAAAATCACCTGCAATTTCACTTGTCTATCAGAATAGAAACCTAGATGTGGAAGTTTTAAGATTTAAAATAAATTTTAAAAACAAAAAGGTCAAAACTATAGTTCTTATCTAGAAAGTTTCTATTGTTCTACCTTTACAGACAAAAACTCTCCACTGCTTGTGAAACATGATGGACATCTGCATAAATGAAACACACATACAGAGAAGCCATGACATGTTACCCTTTCTCCCACAACACTGGCATAAAGACTCCCTGTTCTTCCCATAAGGAACTAACAGAAGTGAAATAATATGTAAAAATTTTCAGTAACTCAATAAAAATTATAAATACATGGACAAAGTACATCACCTAAAGTTGGTATGAATTACCACTGATGAACAAATAGATTTAAAGGAAAAGTAGATTGAATGCATTTCCCCACATCTTTCTGCTGCAGAACAGAAAATTTTTTTTTCAACAGAATAAATATTAAGAACCATGTACCTCATTTCTAAGAGACCATTTCATTATATACACAGTCTCCATGGTGTTCCTAACAAACTTCAGACACTACTTCAAAAAACCCAGGAGTCATGCATAAACAGCATGACATACAATATTGTTATATATAGTGACATGAAATACACACATTATATATATATATATATATATCTGTATAGCTATATATATAATTCCTCTTGGTTCAATTCTATAACGAAGTTTCAGCATCCATGTATTTCTTTGTTGGTTCATCTTCAAAATTTATTTTCACACTCACAGGTTTTTCAGGGCTATTTAAAACAAAAAATGAGAATAAATGATTTTGAAATGGACAAATATTACATTCAAAAAATGGCCAACACTTAGTACCTGTAATAAGTCTTTTGAAATGACTAAAAGGACTATTTATTAACATATGACTCACTATTATTATTTTACTTTCTTTTCCTATCAGTGAATTTGATTGGAAAGATAAATATTAAAAATTCTTAGTTTTTTTTAATGGATATGCTTGCCACGGAAATTCATGTTTTTCTTACAAATGAAAAGGAGTTTCTTAAAATTAGTCATTGTATTTTTAAAAATAGTTGTAGCAGGTGACATTTCACTGACAAATCCATTAAAAAAGCAATCTCTGTTAATATAGATAAGCATCAAATAATTTTCTGCAAAATATAACAGATTTACAAACTTTCCCCAAATCTGGTTCACAAATACAAAATCAAAACACATATACTCTATATTTTCAAGTTAATATCAAATACAATGATTCCATGTCCATGGATTTAAGTGACTGATTTAATTGTAACATATGAATATCTGTGTTTTGAAAAAGCTGTCAAATGTAGAAGAACACACTGTGGTTTGCTGCCTTCTCCAGATAAGACTGAAGGAAGGACCTCCAAACATTTTTTCTGTTAAATGACATAACCCAAACATTGTCTTTCTTCCCCTGTGATTTGGAATTGAGGGGCAACCTGAATGAAAGGCAGAAGTATAAAAGATACTTTTATATTACCATATAATATACAATAATATTATTGTAAGGTCTTTACATTTATAACTATACTAATAATTTGGGCCACAAGTGCTGACAAGGTGTGAAAAATTATTAAGAGTAAAAAGAGCATCAAACTAAATTCTAGCTGCATGGAATAATCAAAATGACAAAGAGTTAAATTTAAAAAACTTTTAAGATTAAAGACAGAAGAAAGGAAACAGTCCAGCTTAGAGAATCAGAAATCAAGAAATGATTAAAAAAAAAAGGAGGCCAGGGGGCATAACAGTGATTAAGTAGGAGCAAAGCTCTAAGAAGAGGTGGGGAAGAAATGAATAAAACCTAACCAATTACTATCAAAAGACAGTGGCCAGAAAGACAATAATCCATCAGAAGCAGCTAGTGACCATTTGCCCAGAGAAGTTTCGATCTGATGTCCAAGCCAGAGTATACGGACACCCAACAGTGTCTGGCACAAAGTGCACACAGAGTATTTGTGGAATATGAATGACTGAGTGCACTACAGGATAATACCTCATTTTTCCACAGACCCAAAGGATTAAAGTACTAATGGTTATCAAACTAGAATCCCTTAGATTCAGGCCTTAAAGTGAGGGTAAAAGAAAGAAAAAATGGCTTCCTAACAAGAAATCTAAGAAAGGAGTTATGAAAATTGTTACAGAATACGTGGTCCATTATAAAACCGATTGGCGTTTATATCTATGGATTAAAAATTTCTTCCAACTATCTTCTAGTAAAATGTTTAACCTCATCTGAAGACATGGCAGACTAAAACAAAACAAGGAAAACAATCATGTCTGTCTTTTTTCCTGGACCATCAGAAAGCATGACTGCAGTACTGTTCACTTAAGAGCATTTATGTAACCCCTAGTAATTATCTTTCTTATATGGTTTTGATCTTTTATATACTTATTCCATACTGCCATATGTATAATATTCATTTTTATTATAAAATGGCTCAAGTTCTTTTTGGAAACAGGCAATTATGAATTTAAAAAGTAACCTATCAGCACTTATATCATTATTTCCAGTATTCAGTAAAATGATGGATAGACAGATAAAAGGAAGAAGGAAAGAAGAGAAAAAGGATGGCTTTGTCAAGAGAATATAACTTATGCAAACTGAGTTACATTTAATGGTTTTATGAAATAGCTATCTATCCATAAGTCAACTGAAAATTGGCTACAGTCAGAAAATGCGTAAAGAGTTACAGCTACCTCGTGCTAGATCTGGTTACTTTGGCATTCTCAGTATTCATGGAAAGTGCCTTCCACTGTGCAGTTTTGGCCATTTCATCTGATATGTTAACAACTGAGGGATCAACACTGAAGAACAAATACACTTTTTGGTTAGTATTCAGTACTTGCAAAAGCATTAATACTGTCACTCTTAACTATATAATATTTGTCTTCATCAACTTAAAATTGAGAAAACTCTTTGTCATGCACTTAAACCAAGGTCTAGCAAAATATCAGAATTTCAGAGTTCTGTTAGAAAGGTTTCATGGGGAATTACATCCTTCTGTATAATCAAAACTAGGAGTAAGATTAATTAAATTGGCAATGAAGCCCAAAGATGATCATCTTGGCTATAAGCGTATTATTGAAATAACAAATGAATACATTAAATATAAAAACTACAGCCTCTTATATGTTAATAAAAAAATAGTAATAAAAAATAGTAATAAAAAAATACAGCCTCAAGTCAATTAGAAAACTTTGATAACTGGCACAAATTTCACTTTCATTAACTAAAGATCCAAAGTATGTAAGGAAAACTTAAGATTATGATTAAAAAAAAACTAGTTTTTAATAATTAAATCATTAAAAAGAATTATGGAAAAGGCGACACTTTAAAAACAAAGCTCTGAAAATATCTGAACAGATAACACAAAAACAGGCTTATAAATATCATTTTCAGCTGACATTCACATTTTTAGTGTCAAAGTGTTATTCTATCAAATTTATCAAAATTCAAAATCAAAAGAACAAAATATTGTCCTTTCATTGTAAGGGATAAATATAATCATTCCCTGTCTCTATAAAATACTGCAAAATTCATTTGAGACCCCAAATCCAACAATGATAATATCCATAAATAATTTTGGGCTCAAGGTTGTCAGCCACAAGTAATATGAAAGTACTATGAAATTAATAGAAATATATCTGCAAGTCCTTTTTCTTCACCAAAGAGTAATATTTCGTGCATGCAAGAGACAAATACAAATGTCAAATTAGGCATTAGGTTCACAATGTGATGGCAGCTACATGATAAATAACTAAATGGCAGTCATTTTAGAAAGCACTAGCTTTGTTCACAATTTAAATCTAAATGTCATTTAAAATATAAGACTGCGGAGAAATGTGACATGGTCACTGCAGAATCTCTAGGAAAGGTGCTTTACTGGGTCAATTTTTTGAAGTGCACAAAATTTGAATACCCAAATTCACAAGGGCAAAGCCTACCTACTCTGAGTATATGTTTCTGTGGCTGGTTGCCAACTTCAAATAACTGAAGAGAGACATTCCTGAAGCACTTTCTAGCTTCAAATGTCCCCCTCTAAGAACTCTCCCATTAGTAGAAATTAAGACCTTTTTTTAAAGACAGTACATGTTTTGTTTTTTCCCAAAATGAAACGAGATGGAAAAAAAAAAAAATCTGTCTACATTAAATCAATTACTTTCATATTTTATAGAGTTTTATAGTTTCTAAATGTTTTTCTTTATTATCTCATTTGATTTTCATGGCAAGTAATCCAAAGCTACTTAAGATTTTAAATTATGACAGATAAACAGGTCAGCCAATTGCCGGCATTCTTAATGTTCAAATTTTAAGCAAAGCAGCATTAATCTTGGCCTATGTCATCGCTTAAAAAGAAAAGTAAATACACAGATAATCATTCTTTTTGGTAAACATCAGACAGTATAAGTATACATTCCACTTAAATTTATCAAGGCCCATGTATAATCATACTGAGAAAGTAATAATGCAGGACCTACAGAAACTAGGTGGCGAATAATCTCAGCAAACTGATGAGTCACTAATAACCATCATGGTAGTTCCTATACTCTTTTTATAAGTACAACAAAGTTAATATATTAATTTAATAAACATTAATACAATCCAGCAAAGCAGAGCACTATAGCTGGGTATATTAAGATGTCTATACTTGGCATTTAAAGTATATAAGAAAGATGTGAGGGAAAGTCATGAAACGTGACACAGAGTAATACCAATGATGCAAATTAATAGTAAAAAGTATAAAGGGGGCGCCTGGGTGGCTCAGTTGGTTAAGCGACTGCCTTCGGCTCAGGTCATGATCCTGGAGTCCCGGGATCGAGTCCCACACTCCCTGCTTGGCAGGGAGTCTGCTTCTCCCTCTGACCCTCTTCCCTCTCATGCTCTCTATCTCGCATTCTCTCTCTCTCAAATAAATAAATAAAATCTTAAAAAAAAAAAAAAAAGTATAAAGGAACATTACTTGATGAATTCATTTATCAAAACTAACCAACATGTATAAGTCTAAATAAGACCTCTGTAAAAACTATAAAGATTAATTAAAAATGAAAAAAACCCCAAGTTAATAAATACCAACAAACCTTTTCCATTAACTGGTCAGGGAAGGAACCTATATACATTCTAAAACTGACTTTTCTACTATCAGTAGCTAATCAGAAATAGGATATGGAAATAGGAATCAGATACATGCATAAATAATATGTTTTTAATCTTTTAAAACTACAAAAAAGTAAACAGAAGAATTTACCACTGTCTTTAGTTCTTTAATTTATAAGTAAATCACCAAAGTCACACAAAATAAGCTATATATGGAACTCAACTTTTTCATAATATGAGCACTCACTGCCAATAGTCAAGTCACACCTTTGAACTCCAGGGCCTCTAAACATAGTCACAATTTGGAAGGTTATCAGAAAATGTACTACAAAGGTTAATTTTCCAGCACGTACTGATGCAGGCCTAATAAAGGACAGAAAGGGAAAAGCTATACTGATTTTAAACTTCATTTAAACAGAAGGAGTGATGCAAGACAAGTAACTCTTGTCTGCTTGGCATGGAAGTTGGGTTCAGGCTCTGGTCCAAGTCCAGCTTTTTCTTCACTCCTGCCTACAAACCTGCGAGGGGAAGAACCGTGAGACTTCCCTTTCAAATTCCTGAAGACCCCCTTTAGTTGTTGGCATTATACCAGATACCGGTTTTGTCATCTTTTTAAAAACAGAGATCACTGCTTTTTAAAAATAGAGATCACAAAGCATTACATGGCTTATTCATGTACTTGACGTGTATAAAAAAATACATTTTACAAGATAGTTTTATCTCACCTATATTTTAGGGCCTTAACTGGAATCTGTAAGAGACTTCCCCCTTCATATGGAAGGTGCACAGTGTCATCATCAGCTTGAAGCATTCGTTCAGCTTCCTTCAGAGCACATACATGAAAAAAATTACTTTTCACAGAATATTTCCAGGAGGACCAATTAATATATAAAATCTTCAATAATTAGAAACCCAAACTGACAATATATTTAAAACATATTTGCCATGACTGAAAAATTCCTTTTACTATTATAAACACATACTGGTAGCACAAGAGAAAACAACCACTTGTAAAGGCTAAATTTTAAATGGTTATAACTTTCACTTCTTTAAGTTAATCATGAATACTACATTAAAATCAATTTACATAAATTTTATTATCAAATTATTAGTATATAATAAGAGATAAAATTTTGTGAAATCTGATGGCTTGCATTACAATACAATATAAGCAAAACCTCATTTGGATAAGGCAGGGTTTCTCAATCTCAGCAATACTGACATTTAGGGCCAAACAATTCTTTGTAGTAAGGGGCAGTCCTGTACATGCAGGATGTTCAGTAGCACCCTAGACCTCTACCCACTGGATGCCCGTCCAATTCTGACAATCAAAAATTTCTCAAACACGGAAATATGAACCCTGAGGAGAAGTGTCACCCCTGGTGGGAGAACAATTTACACTGGAGACATGACCCAAAATCCTGGTATCATAATTACTGGGGACATGACAGGATGGACTGGAAGAGCATCTATACTCTGCTTTCTTACCACTAGAAACCCCACTATTTGTAGGTGGCAATATGCCCAGCTTTTAAAAAATAATCATTTAAAAAAAATAAAACCATTGCTAAATTTCCCAGCATTCCCTGCTACTCCATGTGGCCATGAGATACAAGTGGAACTTACTGGATGGCATTTCTGGAAAAACTTCTTAAAAAACAGGATAGCAGGGGAAAGCCCATTTTGCTTTCTCACCCCACCCCCTTCCTTCCTGCCATCTCAAATGCGAACATGAGAGCTCAAGCTCAGCATTCATCTTGACCTATTAGGTGATTCCCAGAATGGAAACTGTGTGCCGAGGCTGGGAGGACAGCAGCACGGGAGCTCCAGACAACTCTGTGGAGCCATCCCACTAGATCACTTACTCTTCTCAAGATGTCTACAGGACATCTTGTGTTTAAGCCTCCTTTACTTTTGTCTTCCGTTATATACACTGAACCTTATTCTAACTTAAAAAGAAAGTAATAAACACGTAATTTTAACCTAAGTATTTTAATAAATGAATTGCATCCTCTTTGAAAATTCACCAAAAGCTCATAAACATTTACATATATAATATAGTTTTAAAGAAAACAAAAATCTTTTAAAAAAATTTTGGAGGCTCAATTCAAACTAGTGTTCCAGTTAGTATCCTAATTAGTCATAATTTTTGTCAAAAAGTAAACATAAAATGAGTAATTTTGCCATAAATCAGCACTGAATAATCAATCCAAACTATGAAAAAAATCCCAAGGCTTAAACCCAGTTGTCCGTAAAGTTTTAATAAATGCATTTCCATAAATATTATGCAATATAGTAAGGCATAAATTATGTTGCTTTCTCTCAAAAATTAGGGGGAAAAAGTAATTGTGAGATCTCTATTTAAACACACCACAATATTTAAAATGTGTACCTTTCTTCTTATCTTTGATTTTCAAACAATATTCTTAATGGGAAAACTGAGTAGGGTACTAAAATCAATACAATCATCTATGCTACATGTTTGGTTTCTACTTTTCCTTCTTACTAATAGCATTGAGCTGGTTATTTAAAAAAATCAAATTCAGAATAAAATATTCATGTAAATCTCTGTATACAAATTAACTAATGGTACATAATACCACATATTAAGACTAGAGTTTAATAGTACTTTTTATAAAAAGATTAAAGTCCTTTTTGTCATTATGTATATGTCAGATTATTAAAATGTACACTACAATGTGCTTATGTATTTAATGTGCTTGTGTTACCTATGCTTTACCTGTGTTTTAAACACTGCTAAATTCTCTCACTGTTAAAAATAAGTACTCATGTGATACGTAATTTTTAAAAGGTTATTGTTGGGTCAGGGCTTTGGAGAGGCAACTTTAGTTGGTAACATGGGTAAGAGCTGATGTTTTGAACAAGTTACCTAATAACCTCTGCCTCAGTTTCCTTATTTGTAAACTGGAAATAAAAGAAGTACCTACACTTCATAATAATAAGGTTCTTAGGAGGATTAAAGGCGCAGATTCCTGTAAAGTGACCACGAGAGTGCCTGCTACTTGGTACGAAATATTAAACAAGGGAATAGAGTAAATTACCTCTTTCTCTTTTTTCTTTTTGTCATCTTCTTTCTTTTTCTTACTTTCTGGCATGAGATCATCAAGCCAACTAAGTTCTCTCTTTGTGAAACACAGATCCATGAGTTTGCGTACAAAGACTAATGCAAGAACCTTAAAAAAGTGGGGGAGAAACTATTAAGTAACATCTAATAGTATCAAGTCATAAATAACAAAAAAGCACTTCATGTATTTTATTTAAAAATCACTTCAGGGGCCCCTGGGTGGTACAGCTAATTAATCGTTGGGATTCTAGGTTTCAGCTCAGGTCATGATCTCAGGATCATGATAACGAGCCCCATCTCGGGCTCCACGCTCAGCAAGTAGACTGTTAAAGTTTCTCTCTCTGCCCCTCCCTAAGTGCACACGCATGCTCTCTCTCAAATAAATTTTTTAAAAAATAAAAATCACTTCATACACCATCTTATTTCAAAGGAACTGAGTCACATATTTATCTTTCAAGCTTCCTGCTCAAAGAAAACATATAAAAGAAATGGCATTTTTAACCTCTTCCTATATAAATCCCTTGCATTCTGCATAAAATTATAAAGCAGTTTAAGCACGGTATCTTCACAGTACACGATTATTAATTTTTATGATGACTTTAAATTATATACATTATATAGGCAGATATAATTTTTTCTTTTTTTCAGAGAGTGTGTGGGGGGGAAGAGGGGACAGACAGAGAATCTTAAGCAAGCTCCATCCACGCCCAGCACAGAGCCCAATGCAGGGCTCGATCTCCTGACCTGAGCGGAAATCAAGAGTAGGACGCTCACCTGACTGAGACATCCAGGTGCCCCTAAGTAGATATAAATTTAAAAATCTCTTAAGCAATGCATTAGAGAACCCATTTGCCAATATTAGGTTTAGATTTTCCAATCATATATATGAAAAAGATATACCATTACTTTGTTTTCCTCTAACTGCTACTAAGGTTGAAGATATTTTCAAATGTCCATTGGCCATTTGGGTTTCTTCTGTTCTTACCATTTTCCTTATTACTATCTTTTGCCTGGTTTTCAATTGCTTTTGATGATTTTTATTCATGAATTCATAAGAGCTCTGTGTAGTTCAGATAGAAGCATTTTATCTGCCTTATATGTTACAAATGCTTTCTCCCAGTTCACAATCCAATTTTACTATGCTCATATAAAACATTTAATTATCATGTGGTCAAATATATCTTTCCTTTACAGTTGGGTTTCCCTATCTTCTTTGAAAAGTTACCCTTAATCACTGGACTATATAAATATTTTTCAAAATTTTCTACTACATTTTAATGTTTAAATCTTCAATTCATTTATGGTTTCTTTCTGAATATGGTATTGGTTACAGAACCAACCTTAGCTCCCATACACAGTCAAATCTTCTAAGACTATATACTAAATTTTCCCACATAGATGAATTATCACTAATGAAATGACCTGTTCATGGTATTCAAGTGGTAAGTTCTCATATATTCTGATAAATTCTGGACTGACTAGTCTATTTTTCTGATTTTTGTCTGTTCCCATGCCAATTCCATACTGTGTTAGCTGCACTGATTTGACAGCAATTTTTAAATATTTAGTTATCACAAAAGCAAGGTATCAGCACAGGAACAATCAAGTCCCTCACCCCAGACCCAACCGGGAATTCTTAATTAGCTTTGTTTTGTTATTCCTCTGGTATTTATTATATCCTTATTTTTTTCATTAATACGCAATTTACATACAGTAAAATAGAAAAATATCATATATACAGTTTGATCCTTTTGACAAACATACATATTCATGGAACCCACATCCAAACAAGATACAGAACATTTCTACCATCCATGGTGTTTATGACTCTGGCATTTATTTTTCTCTATAAGCTTTAAAATTATCCGGTTCACACTGACAACAACCTCCCCAAATACACACAAACACACACGCAAATAAAACTCATAAAATTCATACTTGGAAGTGACATCTTTACATTACTAAGTATGCAAAACAAAGAACATGATATACAATCCTCTTTGTTCAGGTCTTAATTTTATATACTTCAACATTATTATGGATTGAATTGTATCCCCATGAAAGATACATTGAAATCCTAACCCCCAGTACCTCAGAATATGGCTTTATTTGGAAATAGGGTTGTTGGAGATAAAATTAAGATGAGGTCATACTGGAGTAGGGTGGGTTCTTAAAACAGTATGTCCAGTAGTCTTATAAAATGGTCATATAAAGACACAGTGATACACAGAACACTACATAAGATGGCAGTTTGGAGTTATACAATTGCAACACAATGCCAGACTTTCAGCAAACCACCAGAAGCTAGGAAGAGGCAAAAAAGGGTTCCCTTACAGAGTACAGAGGGAGCATGGCCCCATCCAGACCCTGATTTCAAATTTCTAGCATCCAAAGCTATCATTATAATAAATTTCTTTTGGTAAGCCAATGAGTTTTCTTGTAACCACCCACTCTAACAGCATTCTTACTAATTCTATTAGGGACTTTCAGTCTTTTTTCATTTGAGTCATTTGAGTTAATAGGCAAACAATCACATTATCTACAAATAATGTTATCTCTTCCTTATAACAAATATTGTATTATTCTTATATCACAGTTAGAACCTTCATATCAAATTAACAACAGTAATAGTGTACTTCCCTATATTAGAACTCAGTTACAAATTTTTATTCACAAAGACTGCAATTTTATAAGTCTTTCTATCTTTATGTTGGTAATTCTTACTTGCTGCTAAAGTATCACAGTCTATTTAATCATGATATATTACTTATAGAAATACTGTAAATTTCTTTATTTGTTAATATCTTAAGATTTTTTGCACTTATATTAGTGAGAAGTCACCATCGTTCTTTTGTACAAATTTATTAGGCTTTGGTATTAAGATCTTGCTAGTGTTTCATGAGGAAAAATGCAGACATTTCCATCTTTTCCTTTGGTCTAGAATAATTCAAGAAGTACTAGAATTAAATGTTCTTAAAACTCAGCTGGGCCTGTGATCCAAGGGCAGATCTTTGGCCATTTTTCCAGTCTCTTGTATGCAACTGAGTTATACATATCCACAGATTTTATATTTCTCTTTGGGTTAATTCTCAGAAATGTATGTATAGAATGGAAATAATCCATCTCCTCTAGATCAGTGGCAGGAAAACCACAGCCCTTGGATTAAATCTGGCCCTATCTGTTTTGTATGGCCTGTGACCTAAAATAGCTTTTAAAGATGCACATTTGGAATTGATTTGACAGGGAACACTAACTTTAAACCTCAGCCTCAGCCAAGTGAAATATTATCCTAAATGAAAAAGAATTCCATTCTTCTCATTAGTAGTCTTTCATTTTATTTTAATTTTTTTATTAACATAATGTATTATTTGTTTCAGGGGTACAGGTCTGTGAGAGACACCTAAAGTTCATAAGGAAAATGTATACCCTTCATTACATATATTATTCAAAATGTATACCCTTCATTACATATATTATTCAAGAAGACTTAAAAAAGTGCAACCAAATTTTTTATTTGTAAAAATCAAGAGTGAATAAACTCCTTCCAAGCTTGACTAAAGAAGAAAAGAGCAAAATATACAAGATTAAGAAAGAGAATATGTAATCACAGCTGTGAAAGACTTGGTTAAAAATTCATCAGTCTTACACAATTCACAGCGCTCATCATAGCACATACCCTCCCCAATGTCCATCACCCAGCCACTCTATCCCTCCCACCCCCCTCCACTCCAGCAACCTTCAGTTTGTTTCCTGAGATTAAGATTCTCTCATGGTTTGTCTCCCCAAGACGAAACCGGAGTAGTCTTTCATTTTAAAAAACTGTAAAATTACTTTTTAGATTTCACCAATAAGAAATTATGGAAATTTCTCTCCTGTTATAGAAATGCCTATATATCTTGTGACAAAGCTGAAAATATTGACTATTTGACACTTTACAGAAATAAAGTTGGTCAATCTCTACTCTAGATGTACAATATTCCTATAGATTCATGTAGTATTTTCCTAAAGCCCCTCAAATCTCTTTCACAGCTGTGATTACGTATTTTTTCTCTTTCTTAATCTTGTATATTTTGCTCTCTTTTCTTCTTTACTTAAGCTTGGAAGGAGTTTATTCACTACTGATTTTTACAAATAAAAAATTTGGTTGCACTTTTTTAAGTCTTCTTGAATAATATATGTAATGAAGAGTATACATTTTCCTTATGAACTTTAGGTGTCTCTCACCGACTTGGTTAAAAATTCTCTGCGGCAATACCTACAATGTTTTGTTTTTTTTTTTTAAACTTTTTATTTATTTATTCATGAGAGACAGAGAGAGAGAGAGAGGGCAGAGGGAGAAGCAGGCTCCCAAGGAGCAGGGAGCCCGATGCGGGACTCGATCCCAGGATCCCGGGATCATGACCTGAGCCAAAGGCAGACGACGCTTAACCATCTGAGCCACCCAGGCGCCCTACAATGTTTTTTTTAACTCAGTTTTCAACCCAGGGATTATTTCAGCATTTAATGTCTAAATACTTTAGATTTTTTTAGTGATTTTCATTATTCATCTGTAACTTAATTTATTTGTGATCAGGAAATGTAATTACCTGCATAATTTTTATAGCTTTTTAATTTTTAATATTTTCTTTGTGGCCAAGTACATAGCCAATGTTTACATGGAATTTACAAAAGGATGAATATTCTGTTTGCAAAATGCAATATTCTGTGGTAATTTAGTGAACCATATTGTCTTATTAATATCATCTAAAATCTTTATTATTTTTTAACTTCTAGATCTGTTAATTTCTGAGAAAGATGTATTAAAACATTCTATTAAAGAACTAAGCTGTTCCAGTTGCTTTGCTTTTTTACATCACCTTTGTCCCATCAATGTCCTAAACTCCAAAGTTGTTTAAAAATACAAAACAGCATTCTATAGCCCAAGGACTAAAAAACAAACAAAAATGTAGAAAATAAAAAGCGAATTCAGTTTCTAAAGTGACTGGTTTAAGAGCTATGAAAGGGCTAATTCATATTTCAAAACACCTAAGGTGCTTAAAATGGGCTATTCCCTTTCTTAAATATAAATATTACTAATACATAGTACTAAGATAAACGTTAGTAACATACTGTTGAAACACACAGGAGTGTTATTAACTAGTGACAAAGTCTGAAAAAGTAAAAAAAAAAAAAAAAAGCCTTACCATCATGGGAAAAACTACCGCAGCAGCTGAAGCTTTTATCACCCACAAAAGAACCAGACAAGTGAGCTGAATGACTGTGAAAATATGGACCTTCCAGAGAGGCACGTAACGAAGGTATATCAGATCGGGCTGATGCTTAGCAGGCATTCCAAATAATTTTATACGGTCAAAAAACTATGTATTGAATGGAAAACAAAGCAAGAAAAAGTTTTCAACAAAAGTATCATTTCTGCTACTTAGGAAATTATATACAACCTTAGCGTTTTGTGATTTAAACTCTTACTTCCTTGATATGTTCTGATAGTATAGAATATTTCAATACAGAACATCTGGACCCAAGGAGAGGAGCAAAAACCAAGGCAATCATTCTAATTTAATGCAATTAATTTAATCAGAAAACGCAAATGAGAATGTCTTAATTTGCAGGATTAAAATATGTAAATAAATTTATCTGCTATAATCAACTGCACAAGGCATTTACTTTCTTTGAGCTTGTTTTGTAATATGTACAATAAGAGAGCCACAATTTCCTAGGTTCCTTCCAACTCTAACATTATCAATTCTACAAAACAGCCTGAAGTAACAATTACTAAACTTTCACCCAATGAAAAGGAAACGATGAGCAAATTCCTTGGTCTTTTTGAACTTTAGTTCCCTCATTTATAAACCAGGAGTAAGATCTCACAAAATTGTAAACGAAAGTTGTAAAAGAATAAGTTAAAAAAAGAAAATCAAGTGAGTTAACGAGATCACTCCTTGACCAGTGGAGGGGAGATCCAGGACTACTGAAAAAAATAAAGATGCTGTCTCTGAGAAGCCTTGTCAGCACCAGCTGTCAGCTTTCCCTGACAGGAGGTGGCCATATGGTACTAACAGTGCTTTCGGAGCCCAGTGTTTTAGATGAAGAACTTAGTAAATTTTATCAGGTTGTTTTCCAGGAATTATTATCAACAACACAAACAGAGTAGGGAAATCACTGGGTTCTAACCCTGGCTCCATTGCCTACTTGGTTAAGAACCGTCCGTAAGTCCCTCTATTTCTGTTTCCCAGGTGACAAAATTAATATTTCTTCCTTGACTGCTGCTTAACAATGTTTTGAGAATTACAGAAAATAATTTGTGTACTAGGCTTTATAAACTGTATTGCACCACACAAATGGCAAGTATTAACCATTCCAGTCTTCAACATGCCCCCTTCTTACTATACTAGTCTTTATCAATAGTTACAGAATCATTGGCTTCTATTAAAAATAGGTAAGGATGATCTCCTGATCTCCTTCATGAGCTCACTGAGGGAAAAATGTGTAGTAAGCAATAATCAGTTGGAAAATGTGGATTTGAAGTCATCAGCTAACCTGCCTCCCAGACTATCAGAATTGAGAATACATCACTACCATCATAAAAACAATCTTTGCAAATTTAAAATATGTTTTAAGTTTTTCTACAAAATCATTAACTACTTAAGACTTGCCTGGATTCCTTTTAATGAGGAAACTCCCATATAAAGGAAAACACCATACAGGACAGGCATTGGAATAAGCTGTAAGTAAAAGAACCACAGTTAGAACCCATGCTGCTAAAACAATTTCATAGCAATAAAATACACAAAAACATAGTGAGTACCTATGGAGACATAATTAAAAGATCTTTCAGTGATGAGATCTAACTTTTCTATAAATAAGAAAAATGCTAGTAAACAAGAGCCTCCTTGAAAAACTGTCTATCTCCTACATGTTTCTTCCTGAAACGGGAGAATGTTCAGTGGTTAAGAATGTGAGTACTACAATCAGACTGCTTGGTTTAAAATGGAAGTTAACCTCTTCTTGAGCCTTAACCTCTCTATGCCATAATTTCTGTAACAGATTGCATGAAGATTAAAGGATCTCAAATACTAAAATACTCAGAAAAGCACATGGTCCCTATCAATCAAAAGCTTTAGCCAGGAATTAAAATAAAAACAATAAAAAATTTTAAAAAGCATTAGCCATTATTATTGTTATCACTACCATATAGTGACTACTATACAACAGTACCATTTACTGATATAGTAATTGAACTCCACTCCCAAAGAAAGTCCTTATTACTCTGGCAGGTAGAGGGATCCCAACTGCCTACCTACCATGCCTAGGCATCCTACAGGAAAGCCATTAGCAGGCTCCATCCACCTACTCAAAAACCACAAGCAGCACTCTCACCACCAAGAAAGAGAACTGCAAAGAAAAAAGACCTAACAGCTACAGAGGAAAACCACATTCACGCTCTACTGAACAAATGAGTATGTCCTTCCTAAGAAACCTAGGAGGAAAAAGTACTACAGGAAGAGAAGAAAAGAAGTTAAAAATCTAGTAAGTATCCTCATGAAATTTCAGGAGAATATTTTATCCATAAAGCAACTTCAGAATGCTAGGAAAAATAAATACTCAGAATGAAAAAAGCTTCTAGAAATTTAAAGATATAATTATCAAAATAATTAATTTTGTAATAATGATTTTGATGAGACTAAAGAGATCAATCTAAGAAAAACAGGAAATTTTCATTAAGAGTGAGGGCACAGGATAGAAACGTGAGAACATTTCCAGAAGGTAAAATATCTGTCTACCTGAAGTTGAAGAACTATCTAACAGAGAGAAGAGAAATTAAACACTGGCCAAACATTCCCATAATCAAAGGCACAAGTTTCCAGAGAACAATGGCCCACAGCGAGAGCGGCAGGGTGAATGAAAGTCCCTATCCATCTATCCACCTAAATAGCCTAGTGAAACTGCAGAACACCAGGAGTAAAAAGGAAGTTTTGGTTGCTTCTAGAAAGGAAGAAAATGCCTCTGAAATTACAAAAACCAAATAGGTATCAGACATTTTATTCGGACCACTGGTCTATAGGAAACAATGACTTTAAGACTCAAAGAAAAATAATTTGAACACTGAAACGTACGTATATCTATCAGTCAAATGTAAGAATAATTTGAAACATGAAAGAACTCTGAAGGTTTACCACCCATGGCACCACATATGAAAAAATTACTCTAGGAATTCCTTTAGCAATGCGCAAAAAAAAAAAAAAGATGTAAGAAAAAGGGGAAATAGTATATGCAATTCTTTTTTTTAAAGTAAGGGAAGGTAATAAGTGCTAAGAAAACTTACTGGGTCCTAAGGCTTGGGCAGTTACTCTTCAGGCAGCAATAGGAGCTTAGGGAAATAGGGTATATTTCTGCCTCCACTCAGGCGGATCAGACTGCTTAGTCCTCAGTGAACACATGTGTATCATCATAATACTGCTTATGTGTTCCCAGAGGGTTTACATTTTTATAATTTAACTTACAGAAAAAGCATGGACAGTTTCATTATAATTATAGCACAAAATGCAAATGTTGGTAACCATTACAATAAAACTAAAAACACAGTCAACCAAAGGCAGGTGATGGAAGAAAGATTGGCTGGTGGCCACTTAAGTGTGCTAAATCCTCATAAAACATCTGACCTTACATGACAGACTCCTTTATGTTCCTCAAAGGTATACTGAGGACACGCTCCCCAAATCCTTTTGCTTTTGTGGACTCCCAGAGGTCATCCTTAGACTAAACTTTGAGAATCACTGTCTGTTAAAGAGACTCAGTGTAAAAATAATAAAGCAAAAAATAAAATTATAAAAACATGTAAAACTATAATGGTTGCAACCACCAATATAACTTAAAAAAACAAAGAAGTTAAAAAGAGTTTACCTCTGGAGAGTTGTTTTTGGAAAGTAAAGGAAAATAGGGAGACTAACTTTTCATCTTAGGGCTTTCTTGATGTTCTATTTGAATTTTTCTGCCTATATACAGTCAATACTTAAAAAATTTTAAAGGCAACCTTCCTTAGTAAGGGACAATATCCCCGTAAGAGTGCACCAAATCTCTCTCCTCTCTTGTCAAGTACTTCTAACAATACACTCACCACAATGCAGTGAATATCCCTTTACCTACCTGTTTCACCAACTAGACTGCCAAGTTCTGAGAAGCAGACAATAATATATCCTATTTATTATTATTTCCTCAGTCTTAACAGCAGAGTAAGTACTCAACAAATATCTGGTGAATTAGTCAGTTGCTAGAAAGTTCATAAGATGAAGGCCAAAGAACTCTAGTATTTAATTTTTTTAGTTAATACAATAACATACATACACACTCCAAGTTTTTTCTCCAATTTATAAATGTACACAACTCTTTACTTAATAGTTTTCTTTGCAATAACTAAAACACCAAGGGAAAATATGGAGTTGAGCTCTTCCACAATGAAAAGAAAATTTCAGATTAGATACTTCGCTACATTTGCTATTATTATATTTTTTAATCACTAGATTCATTAGGATATGTATCGTAAAAACCAGATGTAACTTAAAGATATTTAACATAAAGTTTAATTTCTTGCATGCTTCATTTATATTAGCTTTTTTTTTTTTTTTAAGAGATTACTTATTTATTTGACAGACAGAGACATAGTGAGAGAGGGAACACAAGCGGGGGAGTGGGAGAGGGAGAAGCGGGCTTCCCGCCGAGCAGGGAGCCCGATGTGGGGCTCGATCCCAGGACCCTGGGACCATGACCTGAGCCAAAGACAGACGTTTAACGACTGAGCCACCCAGGCACCCCGTTTTTGTTTTCTAATGAGCGCTACTACCTTTATTTCATTTAGTTGATCAGAAAGAATACATTTATTTAATTAATAGCAATTAATTTCACATTCGGTCAAATAACTATGTCAGACATACTCCACTATTACTTCCTCTAAGATTCCTATAAAATCCTCTGGGTATATTCCTCTTTTAGATCATAACTAAGCCATGGATTAACTCCTTCCAAAACTCTATAGTCTTTAATACTATCCTTTTACAGTATTTCTAAGATGGACACATCTAACACTGAAATGCCTCCCATACTAAACACCATATACCAGAATATTATTTTCCAAGTAAATTCCAGGAAATGAAACTAATTTTAGATATTTTCATGTTTCATTTTCATACAACCAAGTATAATTTTATGACAAAAAAGATTTTAAAATATTGCAATAAAGAGATTTTACCTTTAGTACTGAAGTCATGAACACAGACAGGCCCATTAGAATAAAGATCATTAGCCCTGTAACTCGCTGTTCACGAATTCCCAAAAACTTGGGTTGTTCCCCTGGAGCAGAACATTCAGATTCAACTTTCAAGCTGTTGACATGACTTATTGACAACACTGTTGCAGCCACAAACCACGGAAGTCCCATGATAGAGCAAACTCCCAACATAACACCAACCATGAGCAAATCAAGGTGATAGCCAGCTCCTTTCTGAAAAGTGAAAAGAACATGAATATTTATAAGTCTAAACTGTTCTTTTAGGTTAAAATTCTGTATTACTTTATAAACAGAGAAGAAATTAATTTTGATCTCACATCTTTTAATGTTCCAGTCATTATGAAAATACCTCAAACTCTTGAAGAAATTACAAAACCTGACACAAAATTTTAAAATTACCTTCAATTTGTGCTCCTTTCTGTTTATGATTACAGCTGTAATTTGTTGATCCATAAAGATGAGAATGGTACAAAGCAGAGCTGGAATAGCAGCTATTAATAAAGTCCACCAAGGATTTTCTCCCAATGGGCTTATGATCCAGCCCCTACTTGGATCAGTAGGCTGTTAAAAAATTAAAGATAAAAAGAAAGAAGTTTCTTCCTACTGCACCAAACTTCTGCAACATAGGCTGTGTCTATTCCAAGAAATTCCAAGGGATTAGAAAGAACTAGATTAAATCTTGGAATGGATGGTGAATTATATGCACAAGAATGCTTCCCATCCCTCGACGCAGGTCCCTTGGCCATGAAGTCAATCTTTCCAACTAGAGGTGGAATCCATTTCCTCCCCTTGGACCTAGATGTCCTTATGGTTTACTTCAGCCAACAAAATAAAGCCAAAGTGACACTGTGCGACTTCTGAGTCTTGATCTCAAGGGAACTTGCAGCTTCTCTAACCTTCCTGGAACCCTGAGATTAAACTGTTGAGTAAGCCTGGATAAGCCTTCTTGAGGATGAGGTACAATGTGGTGAGAGAGAGAAGGGAGCCAGTTACCCCAGCTGCTTCAGCCATCTGATCTGAGTTCCCAGACATGGGAATGAAGACATATTGCCCCCATCAAAGCAACGGATGACCGCAGCCACATCAAAGATCCCAAACCAGCTTAGCACCAACTGCCACTGATTTATGAACAGATAAGGGGTTGCTGTTTTACAGACTTTATGTTTGGGGAGGTTTGTTATAGACAAATAGGTAAGTGAAGCAGAGTGTCATTTCAACATGCTCCTAACCTACTTCAAATAAAGTGAGGTCAATCTACCTACTAGATCAACTCCTAAACTAAACTGCTTTGAAGATCCTACAGACTAGTCATCTTGGCAGGTTCAGTACTACATCAGAACTGGGGCCTCAGGACCTATTTTTCCAAAGCATCTACTGACAAATATCTGGCACTTTATCAGACACAAATACATTCCAATGCTGTAACGTAAAATTTGTTTTATAACAAAAAATTTTAAAAGATCCTAGGAGTTTAATATTCTTTGGAGGGCACTGGATATATTGAAATCTAAACATGTTTTCATGACCTAAACTTCACTGTAAGCCTGTTTTTTCTTCACAAAAACATTTGTCAATACAAAAGGAACATTTAATATTTTCAAATGCAGGTATTCCAATTTTCCCACACCAATACACATTAAGCTGCTTGATATTCAAAACTGTACATGAATAAAAATATTTTATCTATACTGTGCACAAGTTTTAAGTGTTCCTTGGTTTACTTCCCCAAATATATCTTATGCCCCTTGAAATCGGTTTGCTACTTGAAAGCTAGATCAATAAATGAATAACAAAAATATATTTAGGGATGAAAATAAGGAACTGGGCCCAGGATTAAGGGAAATTACATCAATATTTTGAACCAATATTAATAGTTTCATTTGGTAAAAGACTTGTTAAAAAAAAAAAAACTTTCATATAGTCATCTTTTAATGGCCAATAATCTTTAGTGGCTCAATATCTATGCTTTTAAACAAAGGTATCCAAATTTTATTATATACTTCCAGCAGCAAAACAATAAAAAAATTTTTTTAATAAAACTGAGTAAACTCAATGGCTCTATACGCATTTATATGTTAGGTTACTAATGGTTTTCCATAGTAAAATTCATATAGTAAGTATAAAGCTAAATTTTTCTTATTTTTAAATAAAAATATAAGTAGACCTTCTATATAATTTTAGTGGATCATTTTCCACCCATGCACTCTACTTTGGAGACTACTGGTTTTAAAAATAATTTTTTCCCGTGAGAAATAAAACAGACTAAAATTATATTCATTTTATTCCTTATTTCTAATCCCCTTTAAACCTTCTGTTTTTAAAAGAAGTCACATAATTTGCTATAAAGATAAACATAACCAGTGACACAAATACTCAACTATAGGAAATTCCAGAAACTATTCAAAAGCTACCAATTCCTACTTAAAAGGGAAAGCAATTCTTGAATGCAAAGAGCTCTTGGATGGTCAGAAAAGTATCATTTTTCTTGTGGAAGAATATATTTGATTCATTCCTGATTCTGCTGCAAAATGAGACATGGAGCATTCCATTTACTGTCAGATACACCACCCTACTAGAAATTTAACTAGGATCTCCTTGTTACAATTTTAAATTCAAGTTTGAGTCACTTCCTTATAAAGGAATAAAGAATGTTTCTTTTGCCTGGAAAATACAAAATGAACTCCAGCTACAACAGCAGGGTCAAATTTTTTAAATGACTCCCAAGTACTTACCATGAGTATTTTCATTCATTCTCCCTGATGAGACTAACTCTGATACCTTCTTGCTTACTTCCTAAATAGGTTCACTTGTCTCTTCACATCTTGTCATCTTTTATGTATGTCAGAAAAAATATGTATATATTCCTATAACGTTGTCTAATTTTAAAATAGTTTGGTATTCCCAAGTAACAGATAACCCAAATATTTTAATCCTTACCTCAAATTTTTCAGGAACGTGAAGTTTAGGAGATGGAACTCCTACAAGGTAGTCAACTGCAACCATTATTACTATTGTGAGAAATACAGCAAAGTCACTGATTGTCGATCGCACCTATATTAAAGGGATTATGTTAAAATAAACACAGAAAAACTAGGTGTCCTTTCCATATAATGCTCATCTGTCAGATTAAAATATGGCACTAGAAAGTGTGAGTAAGGTTTTTAAAAAGAAACACATTTCACAACTAACGTACCACCATCCCATTCCTCATGGTACCATTATCTTCCTAGTATTAGTTCAGAAATGTAATATACATTTTCACTATAAATAAGTTCTTTACAACTATTTGATATCAACTATTAACCCCAGACAATGTATTACTGTTCTGAAATAAGCCAAGGTAACAAAAACTAAAAACATGAATATTATCAGGACTCCAAAATCACACCCCAGTTACCTTGGTAGGAAAATACCGCTTGGTCTTAAATTGCTTGAGGAATGAAGACAGAAAAAATGTTGTGAAAAATAAGATGACACACCAAAACAGCACATCTGGAACATAAGGTCCATGAAGACTACAAGCTGATCCTACAAATACACCATGAAAGGTTTTACATTCCTGGGGAAAAAAGGAGAAAAAAAAATAGAAAAAGGAGAGAATGAAGAAGATTCTCAGGTATCTAATAAATTACCAATGAATTCCACTGACTCAAAGATGCTAGTGATTGAAGACATGCCATTATTTTGTATTTCACTCAGAAAGAGAAAACACTGCCAAGTCAACTTTAACATATCATCCATCAACTGTAAACATATCCTGAGTTCAGAGATGTTACAGTTTGAAAAATATGTGTATCTTAAGTCACTGAACTGAAATACAGTATTTTGCCAAGTTACACCACACAGTCCTTTCCTTTCAATTCCATATTCCCTTTAGTGAATGCTTCAGAGTGAATAGCAATTCCCAAATATTTTGTACACATTCTTGCTGGTCCACAATTTTACTACCTTTCCTTTACCTCTAAACAAGTCGCTTAAAACAAAAGCAACTGACAGAAAATTACTACTGCGTTTATTTACAATGCTGAATAAAAAATGGTATAGTGCTAAATTCAAATCAGGAATAAAAACTGGTTGGCTTTTCTGACTTAACTCAAAACCATGGAATTAAAAGCAGTAAAGCAACCATTCAAATAGTGTTCTATTTTTAAAAAAAAATCGTAATCAATTATATGGCATAATGTAATTATAGAAATCTATTGACCTAATTTTCCTTTCGGGGAAAAAATACAGAAATGCAACCAGAGATTAACAATGATACATGCGACTAATGTCATTTTTCTCTTACTTATATTCTAAAGAGACTCATTTTAACAAACACAACTCAGGTTTACCAAGAGAAAAATAGTCAAAGGTTCCATTATTCTCAATTTCTAACTGCTGAGATTAGTAAAGGTACAAATTTACAACATGGATCACAAAAATAAAAGCTATAACTTTAAAAAACAAAAACACTGGGCCTTCTGAATATCAAGAAAACACACACAAAAGACCTGTATCTATAATATCAAGACCTCCTATTCAACCTGAAATGAGGTTTTTTTAACAGATCACTTTCATTGAGCACCTCTATTAACTCCACCTCTTTCACAGCAAAATTGACTTTTTAAATATAAAACAGTCAAACATTAATCTAAGTTGATTACTGATATATAAATATGCTTTAAATCAGCAGTGTCCAACAGAACTTTCTGTGCTGATGGAAATTTCTATATTTCCACAGTCCAATGTAGCAGCCAGACGAACTGGCTGCGCTCTTTAAACATGGCTAATGCAACTGAGAACTGAACTTTTAATTAATTGTATTTAACTTAAATTTAAATAGACACATGTGGCCAATGGCTACTGTACTGGACCATACAGACTTAAATTATCAGTGAGATAAAACTGCAGATGGTACCCTTCCCATGATATATCGATACCCTTCCAATTATATGTTACCCTTCCAATAATATAACTATTATCTTTAGTGAGAAAACAATGCCTTGCAATCGCTTATATGATATAAAAAGCACCAGAGAAGCTGAAGAGATCTAGGTTTTAAGTGATATTGCCAGAATCACTTTATGTCTTAATCCCAAAGCCCAATCTGGGAATTGCCCTAAACAGATATTCTAGGGCCAGGACAACATTTCCCAACAGAATACAAGAAAGAATATGTGATAGTACTCAGTATACAGTAGGTGCTCGTTATGTGTTTTTGTCCTGTTTCCTTTCTTAGGTGCTTAAGTTACACTAGTCTCTACAGACAAGACTACAGAGTAGACTACTAGACCACAGTTAAAGTTCAGTTTGACATCGAGGACATTAGGAAAGCACTCATGATCTTATGTTCATGGAGCAGATAAACAGATACACGGAGAAGGACAAACAGATGTTGGCTGTTCTGTCAACTCCAGTATATGCAACCACAGTCCTAGCAGACACTTCCTTTGAACTTATCAATCTACATGGAATTAGAAACCAGAAGTATATTCACACTTTTTAATAATTAAATCTTGGAAGTCACATTTAGTCCATTTTTATCCCCCTTACCAGGTTCGTTCTTTTCAGCCTACACTTTTTACTACATGATACATAAACACGTGGTAACTCCTGTCTGCTCAACACAACACTACACTCTGAAAATACATCATAGGTCTACTCATAAAAAGCTAAACTAGGTTAATATTTGCAAAATCCTTTATTTCATCATGTACTCACAGAAACAGTGAGATTCCCCCAGAAAATATCATCTGCTGTTAAATTCTTTTCCTTCCATATTTTTAGAGTTTCATTGCTAGGGTTAGGAGGTTCAACACATACACATCTGAGAAACGAGAAAAGGATAAAATTTTAAGGGTCCTGCATTTCATGTTTACATTTTATTAAATCAATCACACAGTGTGGTAGCTTTTTTTTGTTGTTGTTAGATCTTATTTATTTATTTGAGAGAGAGAGAGAGAGAGCACGTGCTGGGGGAGGCGCAAGAGGAGAGGGAGAAGCAGACTCCCCGCCGAGCAGGGAACCCAGACATGGGGTTCGATCCAGGACTGTGAGATCAGGACCTGAGCTGAAGGCAGACGCTTAACAGACTGAGCCACCCAGGCGCCCCTGTGGTAGCTTTTAATTAAACTTTTTCCCATGCTGCAATGCATGGAGACTAGAAAGTGAAAACACATCAGAAACAATGGAACGGAACAAGATTTGGCTTATGTAAATAAAACATAACTAATAAATATCAATAGAATGATATTTTACAGAATATTTTAATGAAACCTGTTAGATATACCCCTTGGGGAGGGATACCATTCTCTTTAAAAATATGACAAGATACCACCATGTTTAGCAAGGTTACTCTCCACTAAATCTTACCTACTTAACCCCCAGGGGAGCTGCTCTGCCTCTCCACCCACACATACACAAAACAAATTCCCCAAGAAAGCAATACTCCTACTAATGCTTTGTACTCTGACAAGCCCTACCTACTCATGCTCATCCTTTACTGATCTTAAGATTCATCTTAAAGAAATAAATGAAACATGGTTTTTCATCAGGACAGGACTAGGAAGGTCATAAGGAGATCAAAGAGTTCAGTTTATATCCAGAACTAGCTCACCTAAAGAAAGGCTAGAAGCACACACAAGCAAAGAAATCTCTAAATGCGAATTTAAAAAATAAAAAGAAAAATAATTAAAAAATAAAAAATAAAAAGAAGAAACACACAGGAATATTTCCAATTAGATTATGAGCTGTTTTGAGAACAGGCAAGGGGATGGACTTTGGATTCATTCCATGCTCTATCACTTACTAGCTGTTTGACCCAAGGCAGGTTTTAACCTCCATGAGGTTCAGTTTCTTCATACACAAAAGGGGCTATGATACAAATAATTAAGTCACACGTGATATGAATTATGCAACACCGCTAACACAGTGCCTGCAAATGCTCACAGGATGTCAGCTGAATGAATCATGATCACATGTAATTACTCAGTTAACCACACTGTTCTGATTGGCACACTAGCTATAAAAGCCATGCTTCATAAAGGTCAAAGGAGTAGGGAAAGAGACAAAAACCAAGAATAACAGTTAAAAAATTAACTAGTTTAAGAGCAAAGAAGATAGCACAAAACAGAATTGGCATCAGAGTGTCTCTAGTCTCCTCAAATAGGTCAATGTCTCATAGAAATTTTCATATCCCTCCCTACTCTGTCCATCAAAGTTGAGTATGCAAGGAAGGAATGGAGGGAAGGAGGAGAGCACAGGGATTTGGGACTTGGGTAGGCAGAAGGAGGGAACTGTACCCTTGTTTGTTGGTAACCACTTTCTCCATGTACGTCGATCAAATGCAGGATCACATTTACACCAAGCATGACTGCTCAAGACAGCAAATACAGGCCTCTATCTACCTAGATACATTTATTTTTAATAACCTATTTGACTTTATTGAATATATTTGCCAACCTTTTTAACTATTATAATTACTTTTCAAAGTCTTAAAATATTTTCAATTCATGATTTTCTTATCACAAATACTGCACCAAATAGCATATGAGAGTGTACTGAAATTATATTTTAAAAATAACTTCAAATAAAAATTATCAGACTTCAAAAATGTTAATGAAAGTGCAAAACATGAAAAATGTAAGAAATATCAGCACCTGGGAGGCTCAGTTGGTTAAGCATCTGCCTTCGGCTCAGGTCATGATCCCAGGGTCCTGGGATCAAGCCCTGGTGCATCGGGCTCCCTGCTCAGCAGGGAGTCTGTTTCTCCCTCTCCTTCCAGCTTGTGCTCTCTCTTGCTCTCTCTCTCTCAAATAAATAAATAAAATCTTAAACGTATGTATGTATATATAGGCAATCCCAGTTATATACACACATATATAAAGAAAAAGAAAAATATAAGAAATATTACATCCTACATTCAGGATTTGGCTAAAGAATACAAGATCTAATATAATTGTCTGATTCAAATAGATGGTGGTTAGTTACCAAACAATTGAATTTAAATTGATTCAAACAGAAGACCAAAAATACATACACTTGAATAAGCTGTTTCAGGGAATAAAAATGACTGAATTTGTTCAACTGTATTTATGTTCACTGAGTGCTCTGATAAAATCTCATCTGTAACAAATAAGTCAACCTCCATATGGCTAGCTGGGTAGTTACAGCAAGATATACAATGAGCATCACAATGCAAAAAAAAATTCATTTTTTTGGCTCAGACATCTCTGCAAAAATACATTTTACTACTGGGGAAAACAGAAAAACTTACAAGTAGTGGGTCAGTTCATCTAAATTGTTGTGCATATTAAATGCATATATTTCTCCTAAATGAAAGAGCTTCTCCAAAGCCTCGTAGATGAATATGATGCAAATTAGAGCCGCAAAAGCCTCCTCTGTGAATCGAGTAATATAACACACAAGGCTGCTCGCATCTGTTGCAACCAAAACAATGCACAAGAAAGAAGTCCACAGACCAATACTGGTTCTTAAAGACAGATAGGAAAGCTGATAATCTCTGTTTAGGGAAAAAACGTGGACATGATAAATATACACACATGGCAATGTATATCTTTAGTTAAAATTTCGTAACAGGCAATAAAAAGAGTATAAAAACATAAGATTCCTAAAAAGAGCAAATTACAGGATAACAATAATGACTAAAGAAAGCACTCTGTATGTTTCTGCTGTTAACTGAAGATAACAGAATATAATGGTTATATTTTACTTATATAAAAGATTTACAGTGAAAGTCTACCAGGCAATATATATTTCAAAAATAAAGACCTCACTCTGAAATCAGTTCTGAGGAGTAAATGACAGATGTACATTCTATAGATCAATTGGATGTGACTCTCTGAAGACCCAGAAGCTCTATGTCAACATGGTAACCATCCCCCTGTCCCCTTCACTGCCACCACCAATGCCATCCCTACCACCAGTGTCACCGCAGAAAGTGACTTCATTTTTTAAATTCAATGTCAAATAAGAAATTACTTTAAGACCACAGGGTCCAGAACTTCACTGCATTCTCTCTTAGTCTCTGTAGCTAGCATGCCACACTGTAATCAGAATCAGCTTGTTCAGTGAGGAAAGAATCAGAACAAGATGAGTTAGATGCATCAAATATTTAATAGGATCAAGTTGTTTCAGGCTAAAATATTCAACTACATTTGTCTCACAAAAGGAATAGTACTGACCATGTCAAATCCCAAGTCTACCAGCTACAGTACCATGCTCTGATTCCCACTGCAACAACCCTGCCAGTGGAGACTGACACCTTGACAGACAGCTACGGTTCCTTCTGGTAAACAGGCCTGACTGATAAAGTCAGATTGAACCTCCAAGATCCACCTCTTTTTTAAATTCCTTTATAAGACCAACATACCTACTAATCAACAATTAGATTAACACCTTCTTAGTGGGTTGCAATTTGCTAGAACAAAGGATTCTTATTGCCCAAGTGATTTGTTGACCAGGACTCAAGTCCACTGATTTTATACTCAAGGTGACTGGGGTAGGAATGATGGTAGGGACCAGAGTAGGGTCAACCACACAGTAGCCCCAAAATACTGAAAATACATATATATTGATCAGATCTTCCTTTTCAGCTACTAAATACATAATGCACTTTTAACTAAGTTAATAAACAATATAATTATACACATATGTAAACACATGTGATAGGTAAATAACAATTACGTACCTGCAGAATTTAAATAAAATTTTTTCAAACACTAAAACTGGACCTGTGCTCCCCAATATTGTTAGAGGTTGCCCAGCAAACAACGAATAGGCAATCCCAGTTAATGATGCTCCAAAAAGAGACTCTATTGCACTCTGTTTAAGGAAAAAAGAAATGAATAGAAGTAATACATCATAAACATATCTCTAACCTACTAAAATACATGTAAGACATCTGGAAAATAAAAATACTAATCAAGTAGTTAAAAATATAAAGCAGACACAACTTTTAAGTCAAATTTAAATTTTAAATATGGAAAATTACAAATACATTTTAAATACATAGGGAAAATTGCTTTGTTTTCATATTAAAAGTAAACTTCTATAATCAACCTTTATTCAAAACACAGTATTGTGGGAGGCCAGGAAGGAGGAGTAAATGGAAGAGAGACATAGAGATTTTAACTCTATCTATAGTATTTCATTTCTTAAGCTTGTGGGGAGTACAAAGATGATGTTTTTGTTATGTCTCAAAGAGTTCACTGAAAAAAAATAGTAAATACTCCATATGGTGTGCACAAAAAAACTTTTTCAAATAAATAAATCAGAAATTAACAAGTGATGCTGGGGCGCCTGGGTGGCTCAGATGGTTAAGCGTCTGCCTTCGGCCCAGGTCATGATCCCAGGGGCCTGGGATCAAGCCCCACATCAGGCTCCTGGCTCAGTGAGGAGCCTGCTTCTCCCTCTCCCTCTGCCTCTCTCCCTGCTCATGCTCTCTCTCTCTATCTCTTTGAAAAAAAAAAAAATTAACAAGTGATGCTAACGTTCTCAAAATGATTTCTAAAGAGCAATATTCCAAAAAAAAAAAAGAAATTAATCTTATATGATGGGCTTAACCAACAGATTATCAAAAATAAAAAAAAAAAAACCTAAAACAGATGGAAAATCTCTTTAAAAAACTCACAGCAACCATTAAATGAAGAAGTACCTTACTACTAAAGCTTGGTAAAAAACATAAAATAAGAAAATGAAAGACTCAGAAAAAAAAAAAACAAAACTAGTATGTCGATTCTGTAGCACTGTGAATATTACCTTCTAACTAAAAAAAAAATTAGAAGGTAAGGGGTACAGGCTATGCCACTAGACAGAGGGGCGGGATCAGAAAGAGAAGAGCAGTTTACCATCTACAAACATCAAGGTCAACTGGAAAGCACTATCAAGAGAGGAAAAGCCCATCATTGGTAAAGGCAAGGAAAAGAAGCTTGTGAGAAACACCCCTCCTGGACCTGGCAGGCAGCACAGCAGCAGGCAAGAGCGGGCTTCAGAACCAGATTTGAGCAGGAGAAAAAAAAAAACTAGACGTTAAGCCATAGCCATATCTCTGACTTTTCAAGCCCAACCTTTCTAAAAAAAAAATAGGAGTGACCATAGCCAGGAGAACTTAATGAAGCAGTGTTTGTGAAAATAAAAAAAAAAACTACAGGCTGCCATACCGAATGCACTCAATAAATGGCAGTAAATCTCATCGAAAAAAAAAACAGCATCTTCCAAAATCAAAATCACAAAAATAATAGTATGCAGTAAAAGCAAAAAAAAAAAATTACTATAAAAATAGGATCAAACTCACATATCTTTGGCAAAACAAAGTGTCCATATTAACAGCTAAGTCATTATAAAATCCTTAACTCAATTAGAATATGTATAATTTAGGAAAAAAAAAAAGCAAAAAAAATGTCTAAATAGTATCCAGAGATAGAAAGCAAAAAATTCAGAAGAGAAGCAAGGAGATGGCAAATAAAAAATGCTAACAGGGGTGGGGGGGGAATAGGCACAAAAAAAAAAATTCCCTTCCCAACAACATGTTGAAAAGGCAGAACCTGCCACATGAAGACCTAAAAAAAAAAACTCCACCACTCCTCTCCCAACCCCTTATTGGCACATTTCCTAGTTCCTGCAAAAAAAAAAATTCTTTTTCTAATTTCTCAACTGTTTTTATGTTCATCCCCAAACTGAATGGTCTCTCTCCCTAAAGAAATCACAGCCCCACCACCCTGCCTTCCCCTCACCACATTCAGAAGTTTCCACTGCACCCATGAGAAGCCCTACCAGTATCTTCCCCGCACTACACCTCTCCACTGCATGGCACTCACCACGTCATGCTCCTCATTCCTCTTTCTCAAAGCCTCTATTTTGGTTTTTAAAAAAAAAAATCATCCTGAATCCTCTTTTGAAGTTCTGACGTTCCCGTGGCTAATCTGCGAAAAAAAAAACCTCTTCATTCTCATTCTTCCTCTAGTCCACAAACCAAAAAGGAACTTCCTAAAAAAAAAATCTCCAGTCACTATAAATTCTCTCCCTTGTTAACTTCATCTATTCCTAACCTTTATTTTTCCTCCTTACCACTCTACAAACTCTGGAACTTGAGGTTCCAATAAAGCACCCGAAAAAAAAAACATCATCTCCGTATCACTTTCCTCTGTGATACTGCTATGTCTCTCTATTCCAAAAAAAAAAGCTGCTACAGCTCTTCCTTGATCTCACTCACGTGTGGCACAGCACCCCGTGAAAAAAAAAATACGCAGACACTAGCTTATCTTTTTCTCTTCGGTTAGGATCCATCTCACACCTGTCTATATTCCTCCGATGCCTAAAGCACTACCACACACACGTGGTATTAAATAGTGGGAAAAAAAAAAAAGGCAGCGCAGGACAGTCCGAAAGCAAGCAGCAGCATCTCTGTGATGGTAACAGATAAGACACATCTCCAGGAGGACCAGCAGAGTTACATGTACAGTTTGAGACAGCACAGAAAAAAAAAACAACTTACTAAAAATAGATTCCCTGATACAATGATTGCAGAATAAGGTAAAAAAAAAAAAATAATCAAAAATAAATTGAGTTTCAAAGGAAATTTCAGTTGTCAAGTTTGTCAAAAAAAAAACTCGCAAAGTATTTTAATTCAATAATTATCATTACTTAGCTTTTGGCTATTAAAAAAAAAATCTATCTGTAAAAAATGTATTTCCTCCCAAGAGTAAATACAATTAAATAAAATACAATCAAGAATTATAGATCATCTCATTTAAATGCCATTAAAATGTATATAAACAAAAAGTCTTTCAAGATTTTACAAAGCACTGGATACTCTGTTATCATGCCTCCCACAATCCCTTATAAAAAAAAAACAAGAACAAAAAATCATAAAAACTTTCATTTTAGTCATACCAAAATATGGAAAAAAAAAAAAGTTATACTTAAAACGTTATCTACCTTCACACAAATTTAATAACAGCAAAATAAACAACACTAAAAATCCACCATTTGTCTACAACTTCCAAAGTCTAGTTGTCAAGTCAGGAAAAAAAAAACAGGGGTGATGAGTTAATATTAATCACATGGCTCTAACTAATCCTATGTTGAAAAAAAAAATATCAAGTAGCCCCAGTTGATAAATTCCCCCACCCATGACCCACCCAGCATAAAAAAAAAATGTCTCCCACCGCCAACCCTTCCCCACTCCCCACAACAGAGACAATACAAGAAAAAAAAAAAATTTATAAAACCATTCATCCAGCAAGCCAGGATAAACTTTTTTTTCTTTTAAAAAAAAAATTTTTCTTTTTTTTTTTTTTTACCTCAACTGTGCATCTTCTCCTGCTCAAAAAAAAAAAAAATGTTTTCCATTGCAATTACCTTTGGGGGAAGTCTGCTTTGGGACAGGTTAATCATGCTGTGGGTAGACTCTTCAAATGAAAGTATGAATAGTGAGACAAATGCATACAGACAAAAAAAAAAGAAGAGCTAAGAGCCTGGCCACTACCAATCTTTGTACTCACTATTCTGCCTTCTGTAGCTTCTCCAAGCAGCCCTCCAAAAGTGATTACAGGAGACATACAGGCACAGTATAAAAAAAAAAACGAGGCCAGGCACTGTAGACTTAATGCATCCTTGAAGTCACTCAAGAAAAAAAAAAAAAAACTTTTGATGTCAAGTATCAAACCACCAAAAAGCCTAAATAGGTGAGATGAAACTCGTCAAACTGTACACTAGAGGATTCTAGCTAGTTCAAACTAAAACTATGGGCTACATAAAACTGCTGGTGCCTAGTGTTTCGTCAACAAAAATATCCTATTTAAATCATGATATAAATTAAAAAAAAAACACTCATTTAGTCTAATCCACTGATAGAGGAAAGGCAGATCTCATTAAGTTAAAAGACATATAAACATCTATATTTTATGGACTATATATTGAGAAGACTGCAGGCAAATGATTTTATATGAGTAAATGTAATTTCAGACACAAATGTACAAGAAAATATACAATAAAAATCAAAAAAAAAAAACACTCCATTCATGAAAATGTGCATAAGCAATTCTATCAATTATTATCTACATTATAAATCTTAAAGGCAAGTGTCAGAAATATCAGAAAGGAAATTATAAATCATAATTCCAAAAAAAAAATTTAACATGAATATACTATGTTGTGCTTAGACTCAGTCAGTAGTGAATTAAAAAAAAAAAATGACTTTTAAAATTAGTACTTCAATCACATAAATATTTCTTGTCCGGGAGAAAAAAAAAAAAACTACTTCAGTGCATTTAATTTGCTGAATATGTACTCAAGCTTATGTGCAAAAAAAAAAAACTAAGAGGCTTTAATTAGGAAGTTTAAAATCTGTATTTGCACATCAAAGCAAAAAAAAAACAATGTTCGTTTTTTCTTTTTTTGGGTTTTTGGTTTTTTTTTAGTCAGACTAAAAAAAAAATCTAATATAAGCTCTGTGAGGGGTAGGGACTTTTTCTTGTTCACTGCCTTTATCACCAGTGTCTAGAACACTGCCTAGGACATAGTAGGTACTCAGTAAATGCTAGTGACAAATCAGTAATTCAAAAAGGTTTTGTGACTCATAAAACATACAATCACTCCATAGAAAATACACCAAAAAATTAATCTTATGCTTTAAAATGCTTTGGATGTTTCAAGGTTTACCATTCTATAAAAAAAAAAAAGAAATAAATACTAAACACACATTGACAAGTGTTAAGTTACTCTATAAATAAAAAAAAAAAAAGGGAAATCAACTTGCAATAAAAAAGGATAACCTAGAAAATGAAACGGCCTAAAAAAAAAAATAACTGATCAATAGTTTATAGGAGGCTCTGGTGAGACCATGAAATCAATGGGAGCCTGACTTGGTATTTCTCAGTCACTAACTCTATCTCAGTCTGAAGTCTGAAGAAATAACAGTAACAGCTAGTATTAGACCACCACCTTTCACACCAGGGCAGTCTTATGCTCTATGATAAAAAAAAAAACTATAATAGAATGAATAAAATGTGAGTTTAAGTTTCTCTAAATTTTATCTTCAGTATGCCAGTTGTTATTTTTCTTCTATATAGTATTCTTTAGGCATGTCATCAATACCCCTAATAATGTGTGTGTATAAAATGACTTGATTTGCTAAACAAATATTTAAGATTAAAAATCAAAAAAAAAAACAGCAACCACCAGTGGATAACAGAGTCAAATATCCACATGCTTTGCTACAAAAAAAAAAAACCTAACATTTCTCTACTTCTACAAAATATTTTAAGACAATGTTTGCACCCAAAAAAAAAACTATATTACAAAAATTAACATCTTCAACAGTTTTTCTAACTAGGTTTCTAGAAAAAAAAAACATGGTTTAATTATGCTTCACTGTCTAATTTTACATTATCTCAGGATATAAAAAAAAAAAAAGAGTTTTACGTCTAGGTACACACACAAAAAATATCAGTTACAATTCCTCTCTGTTCCCATAATTCTCTACCTTCATATAGGGAATTTTAATAGCACTCCACAACTTCTTCAAAAAAAAAAACTATAGGTAATGCAAATTACTCTATATACTATGTAACTGCTCGATATTCTTAAAAAAAAAACCATATATTTTCACTTTAAATTAAAGCCTGATACACAAAATCCAAGTATATAAAAAAAAAATTATTTTAAAATGCATAATTTTCCTTAACATCATATACTTACAAAATAATGAAAAAAAAAAAATATGAAAAAAACACTGTGTAAGATTAACTTCCATATATTTTCCAAAAAAAAAAAAAAAATGCCTTCATCAAATCAACCCCTACTCCCCCCAAAAGACTCCCACAATGAATAAAAAAAAAAACCCACCGTCCAGTCCTCTGTAGCTCAGGCCCGGCATGATGATCGGCCTCTAAAAAAAAAACACTAGAGCTGGGGGCAGATCCATTGGGAAATATAGGAATCTTTCTCTTTTAAAAAAAAAAACAAAAAGCACATTTTCAGAATTCTGTTTTAAAAAAGCTAAGACGGTACCCAAAAAAAAAAGGGAACAGGAGACCTTATATTGATTACATATCTAATCAGTGTTCCTAGAAAAAATGATCCCTAATATAAACTTCCACTTTAAATAAACTGCACTTTAGAATAGTGTCTAATAAAAAAAAAAATTAGTATTTTAAGCTTATGATTGGCTTTTTGTATTTTGTATTCTAATATCAAAAAAAAAAAAAAAACACATTCACACACCATTTCAAATTATGAATCAGCAATAGGAAAATAAAAAAAAAAAAAAACATCTCTCCAACCAGAATATTTAAAATATTGCTCATGCTAACTGATGAAAAGTATACCTTACATTAATAAAAAAGTAAATGCCATTTTTCTTTTACCAAACTACTTCCAAAAAAAAAAAAGCAGTACAAGAGCTATTAAACACATTTTCATAAAAATAAATTTCCCATTAAACGTTATTACTAATTCAAGATTCTCATGATATAAAGGATGCCCCCGCCCCCCTCACTTGAAGATAAAGGAGCTTTTAATTTGTTACGTCTAGAGGTCAAAGGTTGTGTGTGACAAAGGGAGCAACAGGAAAGGAGACTGAAAGAGAAAGACAGGAGAGAGAGAAAGGTGGGGGAGGGGTGTTCATCCTGGGTCAAAAGCTCTGGGTGACCTACAAACTTACACTACTTGCTTTATATATTCAAAAAAAAAAAAGTAGCAAAATGTATCTATAATTTTAAGATTACAATTTGAAAATGTCAAAATTAAAACTAACTTATATCTTAGCTCAAAGGGGAAAGAGAACAAAATTACATAATTCCTAAAAAAAAAAAAAAATGGAAAATACTACATATCACATCCATGGGATACAGCAAAAGCATCATTCAAGAAAATTAAGCTTATATTAAGAAAAACAAAAGGATAAAAATAAATGAATTAAATATCTAACTCAGGAAATGTGAAAACAAAATTCCTGAAGTGAACAGTGAAATAAACAGCTAAAAGCAAAAAGTGAGTCACATGACAAAATACTTTTTTAAAAAAGAAAAACTGAAATAAGTTGTAAAAGCTGCTCTATTTGAAAAAATATGATAAACCATTAGCTAATACTCAGCAAAATATATGACAAGAAAAAAAAAACAAACCGAGAGAAATTTTCTACATACACACACACACAGACTATACTATACAAAAAAAAAAAAATAAACGAAAAAACTTTGATGAAATGGGTAATACACAAATAATACATAATTTAAAAATGATACCAGAAAAACAGGAAATAGGTAATTTTCTAAGAAAACTTAATATTGACCAAAAAAAAAAGAGAAAGCTTACACAAGCCAATCACCACACAAGAAATAAGCACATTGCTGAAAAAAAAAAAACAACCAAAGTCTCAGGCTCAGAACATTTTACAAAGAAATTCTTCCAAACTTTTCAAACCAAATCATTCCAAGCCATTTAAAGTTTTACAAGCACAAGGAGAGGAAAATTTAAAAAAAAAAATTTATGAAACAAATATAACAAAGATGTCAAAGCGTGAAGACATCATGAAACACTACACTCCAATCTACTTAGAGTGACGCGAACAACTCAGATAAAATATTCGACAGAGACAACCAGCACTCTGAAGCTGAATCTGGGCTTATTCTATCAACACAAGAGTGTTTTCATATTATAAAAAAAAAAAGTATGGTTCACCACAATAATCGATATATAAAATTCATACAATTATCTCCAAAAAAAAAAAAAAATTTGAAAAAACTTAACATCCACTTATATTAAAAATTTCAATGAAACAAAAAAAAAAATACTTTCTTAGCATGATAAAAATGTGTATTTTGACCACCAATGTCAGTGACAAAAAAAAAAAAACTTTAAGGACACAGACTACAATTCAGAACAAATTAAGAAATGCCCATTTAGGGGCACGCCTGGATGGTTCAGTCAAGCTCTGAGTTTCAGCTCAGGTTACGGTCTCACTGAGCAGAGTATGCTTGAGATTCTCTCCCTCTCCTGCCCCACCCCACTCTGCTCACATGCACAAAAAAAAAATCTCTCTCTCTCTAAAATAAATTAAAAAAAGAAGAAAAGAAAAATGCCCATAAAAAAAAAACTACCACTTCACACTACTAGAGTTTTAGTCAGTACAGCTGGACAACAGAAAATGTATTAGAGCTGGAATGAGAAAAGGAGGGACAAAAATATCTGACTGCAGAGATTATGACAAAAAAAAAATTACATACAATGAAAGAACTAAGAAAGGGAGGAGGATAAAAAAGAAATATAAAAAAAAAAACAGCCTTCATATTTAAAAGTAACAAACTGATGATATAATGGAACAAAACCCAAAAAAAAAATAAAAGCAATAAAGACAAAATGCTTATGAATACACTCACCAAGAAGTGTGTAAAAAAAAAATAAGGAGAACTTTATTGCATTCCTTAAGGACACAAGAACTGACTTGAAACAAAAAAAAAAATGGGGGGAAACATACCATGTTCTTGAATGATTCAATGTTATAAAGATGTCAGTTCTCCCTCAGTTCATTTACAAATTTCATTGCCATCACAATTTTTGAAAAATCAGGTTTTATTTCTGGAAATTAAAAGCTGATTTTAAAGCTTACATAGAAAAATAAACATGCAAAGACAGAAAAAAAAAATCAGAAAAGCAAGAGTAATGGACGGGTCAAGAGGGAATCTAGACCTACTGGAAAAAAAAAAATGTTAAAAGCCTCAGAAAATAAAGTGTGGAATTGGTCCATAAATAGACCAATGGAAAAGAAATTCCAGAAACAGACCTGAATGCAAATGGAAATTTAGAAAATGTAAGGCAAAAAAAAAAAACTTTTTAATAAATTGGAACAAAAAGGCAGCAATTTATAAAGTTGGATGCAAAAAAAAAAAAATACACCATAATAAACTCCAAAGGATCAACAAATGATTTCAATGTTAAGAAAAAAAAAAATTTTTGGGGGGGGGGGGAGCTGGGGGGGGATGAACTAAAGATAACCAGGAAAAAAAAAAAACACTAATTACATAAATGTAAATTAAAACCACTTTATAATACCTGACATAGGAAAAAAAAAACTATCAGACTGACAAATATCTGGAAGTCTGACAACACACTGTTAGTGAAGCAAAAAAAAAAGAGGCATTCATCACTGTGGGAGTCCAGAACAGTGCAACCCAGTAAGAAGGGAAAAAAAAAATATCTACTAAAAGTTCCCAGGTGAGCCAACAATCCAATTTCTAGGAATCTAAAAAAAAAAAACACCTGCACAAGACTAAATTGGCATATCAATATTGTGATATGCTTTGTTAAAAAAAAAAACTGAGCCCAGGAATAGCACAAACTACAGGATATCCATAAATGACACATAACAAAAAAAAAAGAAAACAAGAAATATTTCTGGTGTCTTATGATCAAATCTCCAGGATATACTAAAAAAAAAAAAAAGCAAGGTGCAGAACAGTACATGTGGTATGTTAACTTTGGTAAGAAAGAAAAAAAAAAAGGACTATATTCATTATTTCCTTGTACTGAATAAAAATTAGAAGGATAAACAAAAAACTAGTAACAAATGGTCCTCTCATAGGAGGTGGGTACAGGGGTAAGAAGGTAAATGGAATATGGTAGGAGTACACCTTCTCTGAGTGTACCTTTTTATATATAGTTGAATCATAAAAAAAAAAAAAATATTCAAAAATATTTTAACCAAGAAAAAGTAATTCACAGAATTGTGTGGATTCTTACCTGAGAAGGAACACTTTTTGGTGGCTCTATGCGTATAGAAGGATCCCACTCTCCTAAAAAAAAAACAGTTACTTGATCTAAAAATTCATCAATTCCAGATAAGAGGTCATTTCTGTAAAAAAAAAAATAGGCTACATCATGAAAAATCTACAAAAAAATAAAAAATTGAGTAAAAGGATTTTAAAGCTGAAAGAAAATTCTACACATAGTAAATCTACTTTAGATATGATCAATAAGTAAAAAAAAAAAATTACAAATCTCTGCTCCAAAGACAGACAGCAGTCCTGTCAATATGCTCAAAAAAAAAAATCAAAAACGGAAGAGAAATTATGGAGAAAAAAAACAGAAGGGGTAAAGACGAAATCCTGAGGAAAACCCAAAGAAATGATACCCTGAAATCCAGGATGGAGAAAATTTCAAAAAAAAAAAAAAGTGGTCAATAATTTCAAATAAGGGGGGTGGGGGGGAGAAAAAGACCAAAAAAAAAAAAAAGATCCCGACAGAAAGGTCTTAAGGATCTTACTAAAGGCAAATGGTTGAAGAAAAAAAAAAATAAAATAGTACAGACAGCAAGGAAAATTTTGTAAGCTTCACTATGAAAAAAAAAAAAAAAATAATAAATGTTTCACAATCAGTGTCCGCTTGAAAAGGATTTGAAATTCCACAAAAAAAAAATTTTATATATTATATACTTCATAATCAGTATCTACCTCACAGGGTATTTTAAAAAAAAAAACTGTCATGAGAGTAGCTATTGATCTTCCAATTTCATGGTACTGTGGTGCCTAAAAAAAAAAACCCAATAACAGAAACAGAAACCTAAAGAAATATTAAAATACACAGACTTAAAAAAAAAAAACATATACACAAAGACCTAGGCAATCATAAAGAAATCATTCAAATGTAAACACAGAAACAACGTGCAGGCCTCTTTTCCACGCCCACACCAATCACTGAGAAAAAGATGACAAAAAAAAAAAAGTAAAGCAGACCACAAAACTAAGCAAGGCATTCATAATTAACTTTCTACCAAGTTATTGCTCCCCATCTTCTTTAGGGTAAAAAAGTAATTAAAGAATTGAGTGTTTTACAAAAAAAAAAACCATTTTCTTTACCCTTTTGAATCTGAATAAACCTTTTATCTAATCTGTATAAAAAAAAAAGTAAACTGGTAAATAAAGGAAATACCAATCCCATTAAATACTTGTAAGTAAAAAAAAAAAAATAAAATAGTTCAGAGTATACACAAAAAAATTCACAATCCCTCAAACTACGGTCTAGATAAAGACTCTACTGTGGTAAATAAGTCACTATGGAAGGAAAAAGAATATAACTCAAAAAAAAAAACATCAAACCTCATCTTATTTTTTTAATTTATTTATAAATGACTAAATAAAAAAAAAAAAACTTCATACTTAGTTATATCCTCATTAACACTACAGTACACCCAAATCGGAAAAAAAAAAAATCTTGTTTATGAGAATTTAAGTGTGAATCTATGGAATTATTTTTCTCACTTAAAAAAAAAATACACCATTAATGTAACCCAGGAAAGCATACTAAAAATAGGCACATATGCTCCAATCAAGTTGCAATTAATTCTTCATCTTTACTATTATAAAAATGACTTTTTCAGTATTCAAAAAAAAAATATTTACAATTCAGTTTATAGAGTCAACAGCTAACAAACTGATTATCCTTTATAACACAACTTGCTAATTCTTATGGATATTACCCCATTTATTTTTTTATTTATGTATACTGAACAGAAAATTTTGGTCAGGTCAGAACAAAGCATTTTGCCTAATTCAGAGGCATTTTATTACATTTAATCAACCCTATGAAGTAATCATATCTTCATTTTATAAATGAAGCTTGGAAAATTTAAGTGAGGCTGGACACCCCCAGAAAAAGTGGCCCAGCAAAGATTCAACTCCATTCTGACTAAAAAAAAAATAAAGAGATCTAAAATGATGAGCTGTCTTTTAAACCAAAGCTCCTAAAACAAAAAAAAAAATATAAAGGTATAAATGCTAAGTATTTTTTAAAAGGATGCTTTCTTTTTGTTAAAAAAAAAAAAAGAAAGATAACTCTTATGCTCTACTAGTCAAAGCATTTGGTGCACTGACAAAAAAAAAAATTAAAATATACTTTTATTACATGAAGCAAAAATGCTCCTTTTAATCAATAAAAAAAAAAATTTAAATTCTGGGCATGCTGAGAATGTTAATCAGAACGAAGTCTTTACCTCGTAGGAACAGGGACCTCAGTCAGCCCTGAGAGGAGAACTGCAGGAGCCAGTCTCACAAATGAAAAAAAAAATCTTTCCAAAAAGTCTACCTCTCCCACCAAAACATTGGATGCCTCGGCTCCAAAAAAAAAATTTCTCATGAAATTCATATCAACCTATTAACAAATAAACAATAATTAAAATCAAATTTAGATGGTATTTTTTAAGTTTATTTAGAGGGAAACAGGAAAGAAAAACTGCTTTTAAGACTACTATTTGCTAATCAAAACCGGTGATCTCATGGATGTATAAAAACACCAAAATTCTCACACATATAAAGAATGGAGTAGACAAATACAAAAAAAAGCAAGCAAAACACATCTATCAAAAAAAAAAACCAACTATTTTTTCTTTACTATTTCAGAGATCTAAATTATCAAACATACAAAAAAAAAAAAATTTTCAGTGATTATAGCACTATTCATTAAAAACTATTAAGGACAAAAATAAAAAAAAAAACTAACAATGGTTCATGAAATTATACACAGTGCTAAAAATCATTCATTTCATAAAAAAAAAAGTTTAATCTTAGAAATGAATTAGCCCCTTTATATTTTACATATATTTTTATAAGTCCTTTTTATTTTCAAGAGCTCTGTGTATTCCCTGGTATTTTCATTAGGTGGCAAAAAAAAAAAAAAATTTTTATTTAAAACCAAAGTAAATAGCCATCACTGGTAGAGATGTAAGATAAAAAAAAAAAATCAAATTTAGTAGTCTGTGTATAATTACAAAGAAAAGGTTTTAAACATAATATCAAAGTATGGGAACTTCATTTATATGCAGTTTCACACAAGTCACTAAACAACCACTTAAAAAAAAAAATATTAAAAATAAAACCAGCACTTACAGCGGGCCTCTTGAGTCCCACACCCAAAAAAAAAAAACTACAGTGCCAGGAGGCAGACTCCTGCCCAACAGGAGACAAGGAGGTGTACACAAGGATAGGCCAAGTAAAAAAAAGTAAAACTGTGACAGAGGAACAAAAATAAACGGCAAAAAAAAAAACTAGAGGAGATCTATAATGTAAATTATACTTATCCATTTAACAAGAATAAGAAAAAAAAAAGTTACTGAATACTTTTCACTCATCTGAAGTAACAGAAGTCCCAGTAAAAACAAAAAAAAAATAGAATAGAAGAATTAAAAATACTTTTATAATTTTAGAGCAAGCTCAAGCGAAAAAAAAAAGCAAATCATTTACACTCCTTTTCTGCAAAATGTGATTTATAGATTTTATACAAAAAAAAAATTAAGAAAAATGCATCTTACTTGAAATAGTCACATTTAATGAAAAGTCTTAAAAAAAAAAAAACAACGTTAGAATAGAGTATCTTACAACTAATACTATCAAAAAGTTCTAACAGCCACACAGAATCAATTATTCAGAAGTAGTACTCATAAAGTATGCTTTAAATTCAATTGCAATTTGAACTTAAGAGTTTTTGCCCAGTTCTTCAGAAATTTCAAAATTTTCTATTTTTATTTCACCTAAATACTCATCTACCAAAATAAAAAATCACAGTTGAGATAGGTGAGTTGTGTCTAAATCCATGCCTTTACCTACCCATGGGGAAACACCGGTATGTTTCCCAGGGACATTCCAGAAAGTACTGACACCGTAAGACAGTAACTCTGGGATCTTATTACAGCCAAGAAAAGGCTGAATCACCAGTGCTGTAACATCATTCCCAGAATTAATCTTTCTGGTGGTAGTAGCTCCAGAACAAATGACTAATTCAAAAGGTACTGAAGTTTCATGATATCTATGGGTAGGTATAGATGGAAATAAAAAAAAAAACACATATCTTTTGTCAAAATTCCTGAAACTATTAAAATATATAGATATTCAAAAAAAAAAAGACTATTACCTTTCTCATAACATTTGACCTTAAATTACATAACCCAAGTATAAAAAAAAAACTTCTAAGCACCAATCTATTGAAAAATTACTATAATCAGTGCTAATAAAGTAAAAAAAAAAGTGATTTTCTCAGTAAGAATGATTATGAAAATTTACAGTGAATGATAGAATTACCTTGCTGAAGTCAACAGTACTATTTTCTCTGCTTCCTCCACCTCCATTACCTTTAATTAAAAAAAAAATACTATTGTCCAGGTTTCCAGGTGCAGACTGTGGAGAGGCCAAAATACCTGAAAAAAAAAACCAAAATATTCCAAATTAGTAAGGAGAAAATTCACTTTGTAAACTGACTCTAAAAAAAAAATGAAAGTGATCATTTATTAAAAGCGAATGTGCAAGGTTAAAAAAAAAAAAAAAAAAAAAAAGTTAGTATCATACCAGCAAGACTAGAATAACATTTTAAGCAATAATGAAGCAAAAAAAAAAAACATTTAAAATAATATAACTGGAATTTACAAAAACAGTGGCCTTTTGCAAAAAAAAAAAAAAAAAAGTGAGTAGGTGAAGAACATAGAAGATGGAAGACCTGAGTCTGATTAAAAAAAAAAAAATACTCAGGGAATGCACTTTCAATGTATATAACACACATGCCAACTGCAAAAAAAAAAAATGCCAAACTATACTTGGCATACTTACGTCAGTAACAATATTTATTTTCTGATAAACCCTAAATGCAACTCAGAAAATCCAAAAGCTCAATCAACTAAATGCAGGTTAAATTTATCATAATCGTCCATCATAATGATTTCCTCAAGAATTTCGTTTCTCTTGGGTAGTATTTATGTGCTACCATTATTCCTAAGAAGTACAACTTGAAAATATAATAGCGGGGCGCCTGGGTGGAAAAAAAAAAAAGCATCTGCCTTTGGCTCAGGTCATGATTCCGGGGTCCTGGGATCGAGCCCCGTATCAGGCTCCCTGCCCGGTGGGAAGCCTGCTTCTCCCTCTCCTACTCCCCCTGCTTGAAAAAAAAAACTCGCTGTGTCTCTCTCTCTCTGTCAAATAAATAAAAATCTTTAAAAAAAAAAAAAAAAAAATGTTTTTACAATAAAAAAAGAGTGTTTTATAATCAAACACATCTGTGTTGAAATTTGTATCCATACGACTTTAACTCATTCAACCTAAAAGACTAAGACAAACCCGTAAAAAAAAAAAAAATAGATTACAAATGATACACATTCTATCATTAGTATGCTCATTTCAAGTGACAAAAAAAAAAAGTATTTCACAATAAAATAACCTAAAAATAACCTGTAGCCTGTGACCCATTAAAAAAAAAACAAAGTTTGCAAAAAGTTCAAGTCTCGATGTTTATAAAGCATGTAACACAGAAAAAAAAAATTAAATGTATCTCATTTTTTCAAAACACACAGGATATTCTAGTTCAAGAATAAAAAAAAAAATTGCCCCAAACAATGAGCACAAGAGAAAAAGTGCTAGGCTGAACTACAACAAAAAAAAAATTTTAACTCTGCCACTCACAACAATCTAGCTACTCACAGAAATTCAAGGGGTGCCTGGATGGCTCAGTAGTTAAGCGTCTGCCTTTGGCCCAGGTCATGATCCCAGGGTCCTAAAAAAAAAACCTGCATCGGGCTCCCTGCTCCGTGGGAAGCCTGCTTCTCCCTCTCCCACTAAAAAAAAAAGTGTTCCCTCTCTCACTGTGTCTCTTTCTGTCAAATAAATAAAATCTTAAAAAAAAAAAAAAAAAGAAATTCAATTAAGCAGTTTGTGCCTAAATCCTATAAACTTTAAAGTTAATATTGGTAAAGTTCCTGAATTTTAAGCACATCAGATATATCTGATACATCAGAGGGAAAAAAAAAAAATCTAGAACACGGTATAACTAATAACTGAAACTAAGTCATTTGGGTTTACTGAAAAAAAAAAATGACCGAAGACCTTTGTGATAGTCCCTTCTCTTGTTAAATACCTAACAAAAAAAAAAAAAATGATCCAAAAACCTAAGTATAAAAAGCATATGTAAACTGTTGGGGCGGCTGGCTGCCTTGGTCAGTGGAGCGTGCAACTCCTGATCTTGGAGCTGTGGGTTCAAGCTCCACAAAAAAAAAAGTAGGATTACTTAAAAATAAAATCTTTAAAAAAAAAAAAAAAAAGGATATGAAAAAAAAAAAGCTCCATGCTCTGGAAGTGTTAAACAATTCTGAAATAAAAACTATGTGCTAAAACTTACCTCATTTCTCACCACCTTAGCCTAGCAGAGCAGTTACTATGAGCCTCTTCTTTGACCTTTGTCTCTAAACTTCCAGAATAGAGTCCATTCCTTTATTAAAATACATGCCCAAGAAAAAAAAAAAAAAAAAAAAAGGCTAACCAGTATTTTTCAGCGGCTTCCACTGACTTCCACACAAGAAAATGAAGAGTATCATTAAGGTCTTCGTGTCAAGTGCAAGTGACCATCAATAAATAAAAAAAAAAAATGTACTGAATCTGCAGATGTATAATCAAAAGAATACATATGCAATTTCCAAAAAAAAAATCAGCCCCCATATTTTGGAGAGAAGAGTAGAATGAAGACTCTGGGGGGAATAAAAAAAAAAAGGGGGAGTGGGAAGAAGAAATGATGTGGAAACTCAATACTGATAAAGTTAGAGTAGGATCTGAAGTCATTTGGCTAACTAGTCACCCAAACCTATTAGAACTGGCATGCAAAAAAAAAAAAAAGAGTTTTTCACCATTATCTTCTCTACGTAGTCCTTCCCAATCTCAGCTAAGTTAAAGCTGTATCTCAATCAGTAAAGGAAGTCTCCCTGATTGTACAATAAATCCTGGTGCTCAGAATTAAATGAGTAAATTCCCCAAAATTAAAACTATCACTAGCACAGATAACTCAGAAAGACTGTACTTCTTTGCTTTAAGAAAAAACAATGTCTGTATATATAAAATCAATACGGGGAAAAAAAAAACATACTTTGGTAAATCTATTGTTTTGCCCTTACAATTTTTCTCACAATAGCAAAAAAAAAAGAAAGATAAATCAAAGATACCAGAATCTTCTGTCACTATAAATTTGAAAATAGTAGTTGGAGCAGTGGTGCACAAAGAGAACATTCTGGCAATATGGAGGGACATTTTTAGGTGCCACAACTAGGGAATGCTACTGGCAGCTAGTGAACAGAGGCCAGGGATGCTGTCAAACATCCTACAATGCACAGGCTAGCCCCTTATAACTATAGCCCCTTACAACTTTGGGTGTCCAGCCCAAAATGTCAACAGTGCCAAGGCTGAAAAACAGGGAGTCAGGAGATAGTTACAAATACTAAAAAAAAAAATAACTCTTTTACATGTAATTATTCTCCAAAATGTAACAGGAAACACCACTTAAAAAAAAAATTACTATGGTTATGCACAAATCATGATCCCATGACACAAAATCTACAACATAAAAAAAAAAAAAATGATGCTAAGGCCACTTTCCTCCTGTAACATAACATCAGACTTCAAGAAAAAAAAAACAGGGGGGGAAAAAAAAAAACTCAACCAGTTTTAGAAACCAGGTTTCTAGGAAAAAAAAAAACCAAAGGTAAATTAAACCAGGGAATAACATATAGCTGTTCCTCTTATTTTAATTACATACCTTCTATAGATGTCTTAAACTGTAATTATGGGCTTTTTCTTGTCTTTACAAAGTCCCTCTCTTCCCTCCATTCTAGTTTCTTTTCTTTAAATCTCATAGCATACTTATGGCAGAGGAGAAAAAAAGCTTAATACTGTTCTTCAATTTTCAGTTAATTGCTACTTTTATCTCCTAAAAAAAAAAGCCTAACAAGCTATTGTGAACCCATATGTCATCTCCTAGTTCCTATATAAAAAAAAAAAAACCTCATGGAAGCTGGTAAAACAAGAAATGTTCAGTATTACTGCTATGATATAAAAAAAAAAAAACGCAAGGAATTAACTTTAAAATCACTTCTGGGTGCCTGGGTGGCTCAGAAAAAAAAAAGACTGCCTTCGGCTCAAGTCATGATCCTGGAGTCCCGGGATTGAGTCCGCAAAAAAAAAAATGCTCGGCAGGGAGTCTGCTTCTCCCTCTGACCTTCTTCCCTCTCGTGCTCAAAAAAAAAAATTCTCTCTCTCAATAAATAAATAAATAAAAATCTTAAAAAAAAAATTTAAAAAAAAAAAATTCTGTTCAAGGAAAAATAGTAAGTCTTGCTGGTTCTCTTTAAGACTGTTGATTACTTCTGAGTAAATAATTTTAGGTATTTCTTTCTTTTTGTTCAGTTACCTCATTACTATACTATACATTTTCCATGAGGTACTAAAATCTACAGTGAAATACTATACTGTAGATTTTGCTGTGGATAGATCTGAGTTCAATTCCTTGCTCTGGTCATTTATGGCATGATTTTAATAAGTCAAAAAAAAAATCATTTGTAAAATAGGGATTAACATGAACCTCAACAAATTCTTAGGAAAATTATAAATATATTTGAAAAGTAATAACACTGCGTGAGGAACAAACTATAAAACAATGGACGCAAAAAAAAAAGTCATAATTAATGATACAATGATTTAGCCACCGTATTTTCATTCTTTACTTCCAAAAGTATGTATTTTTTGGCAACTACAATGAGCCTTGATTAAATACACTTGGTATGTTTAAAAAAAAAAAATACAGAGAAGTTTGTCATATAGTGGTAGGACCTTGAGGATTTTGTCAGAGGACTTAGGCTATCACTTACTAGTTGTATGATCCAAGGAGAAGTTACCTTAACTTTTCTGAAAAAAAAAAAATGGGTGTATCCACCTAACTCACACAAATTTTATACACATTAAATAGGCTAAAAAAAAAAAAAACATAAGCTGCCAATGAAGTGTTACATGTTATCAGTATTATGAAGAAATAAAAAAAAAATTTTATGATTAAAACCACTAGCTAGCACTTATATGTCACACTGATGCTTAGCTGTCAGTAAAATAGTCACTAAAGAATACTTCTTTATATGAATTGAGTGGAAAGATATACAAAAAAAAAAATACATATAATTAATATATTATGAAGAAACAAAATTACCATAATATATAACAAAAAAAAAAATTATTAAACCTTTAATGCACTAAGAAACAATTTTTCTAATTCACAGACAAAAAAAAAAAAAAGCCACAACTCTAGGATCTCTGGTCTTGAAAATTTTAAGGTCAATTTGGATTAAAGGTAGATATGGCATTAAACAGAGGACAAACTAAAGTCTATCCCAAATATACTTGTCTAAAAAAAAAAATGATTCCAAATAGCCATTAGAGAACTTTGATTTCTCAGAGACAAAAGGAGGAAAAGAACATTCAATCCTATTTGTGTTAGGAAGGTTAAAATATACTACATTATTTGGACAAAAGCACCAAACAGTAGCTGAAAGACACATCACCTCATTGTAATTTATGTCCAATATGTATAAAAAAAAAATATGAATGAAATGCACAAGAAGAAAAGCCACTATTTTTTAAAAATCATGGAAAATTAAAATATTACTTATAAAAATTTCTGTTTTTCTGAACCATTCAAATGCCTTGACCTGTAAAATCTCAGTGAAAATTTTTGAAAGGGCTTTAAAGTCCTCTTTGTATTCTTTTTATAACAAAAAAAAAATTAATACTTCTTTTCTACAATATACTATAAAGGGGGAAAAAAAACCATGCAAAAAAAAAAATAAATTATAAGCATTATCTACATATGCTGCTAAAGCTCTGTGCTGAAAGGCAAAAAAAAAACAAGTCATCCAGAGGCAGAAAGCACCACACATGGAGGATTTGAATAGTTGCCTGGAGTCATGTCAACATTTTCCTCATTCTTCTGCTCCTGGCCTTTCAGTGCTTCTAAGTCAAAAAAAAAAGGATGAATTACTACTGTGGGAATATCATCACTGGCAGGTGAAACCAGTAGTTCTGGGGCCTGAAGCTGACTCTGTTGGGAACTTCTGGAGGTCAGGCGACTGACGCTAGGGCTGGAAGGAGGGCTGTTTTGAGGGGTGGGTACTGGGGTTGTACACCTTGAGCCTGCAGGGCTTCCAGCTCTTGAAGAAGGAAGAAGATGACTGAGAAGAAGAGATAAAGGCGATTCTCCTCTCAATGAAAGGTTTGAGGCAGACAGACCTGTTCGCAAAGAGTGGCGGGAGGCTGAAAGGCCTTCCCCTGAGATAAAACAAATAAATGAAAAATGATAAAGTTCACTGCAGAAGGCAAATAGACACACACACATAACATCAATTTACAATGTAAACTGCAAGCTTTAAAGCCCAAAATTAATTTCAAATTCATGCTATCAGAGTTAGCATGGCAATCAGATGTTTAAATGTTAGAAAGGCAATGAAAAGCTGCTTAAATTATACTTAGTTCCCTGAAGGTGTATCCAGAAAACAAAACAGAAAATAAGAAACAATGCAAATGATAGATGATGGGGGGCAACATTCTGTTAGTAATTAGAATATCCAATAAAAAAAAAAATGAAAAAAACCAAATGCGAAGTTGATAAACAATAAACAGCAAATAAGAATGAAAAAAAAAAATCTAAGAAATAAAACCCTATACAAAACTTACAAGCACTGATAACTTATATAAAAAAAAAATTTCCTACACTGTACCAAGCCACTAGAGATAATTCTCTCTTACAAGAAAAGAAAAAAAAAACTAATAATTCCTAACTTAAAATTGGTATCAACTCTTTTTATTAGTCAGTAGAAAAAAAAAAACTGGTAGTGCTCTCAAGTAAAATTTTAAAACATAAGGCAAGTTATAGGAATTTTTTTAAAAAAGAAAAACATAGTGTCAACTTGAAAGGATATTCTTCAGCTCTCGAAAGATATTAATAAATGTCCTAAAATATGCATCCATTTCTAATACAGCAGATAATATTAGATACATAAAAAAAAAATTAGCTAGATATTAAAGTATTTCTCACCAACAATGGCAATAATGAAGTAAGAAAAAAAAAATTCAAAAGGTTGTGCATATTTATATTTCAAACACCTGGTATTCTAAGAAGTAAAAAAAAAAGGAATAACACTGATTTTAGGAAAAACATGAGCACTATGACAATCAATCCCAAAAAAAAAAAGTTATCAAAGCCACATGCTCAAGAGATTCCAGAAATATTAAAAAGATGAACAAAAAAAAAAAAACTACCATTTAGTTAAAACTAAAGCTATATGCAGAAAAACTGTTAAATTAAAAAAAAAATACAAAAAAATAACATGCCCATGCTAAAATGGCACTTAAAAGAAAACAGCCAAAAAAAAAAGATTAAAAGGAAACAAATGGCAATCAGGGAATAGTCAGGAATCACTCCACATGAAGAATAAAGATTTAACAGGGTCTCTCTGAGTAAATGAACTCATTTCAAGAAAATTGAGAATATACAGTACATGAAGATGAAAAAGACATAAAATTTGACATCGATGGCTTGATTTTAAATTGAACATAGGTCCATAAGAGAGTTCTTTATTCTTAAGGTTACTTAAATACATAAAGGCATAAAAAAAAAAAGATTAAAAAGAGTTTTAATGGCCAAATATTTAGAAGAAAATGGACTTAAGAAAAAAAAAATGAGCTGCAAAAGATGATTACTGTCCACTTTGAATATATTAAACCCCATCCCATCACCAATGGCTGTTCGTTTGTAGAATACTTAAAAGCCATACTATTAGTGCAGGGACAAAAAAAAAAAACAGAAAGACACTGTGGCCCATCATCCCTCCTCTTCACTCTAATCTTTGAGTAATGGTAGCAGCTAGAGGCAAGAAGGACCCTCATAAGCCAACTCCACCCCTTTGTACCTAGGTTTTGCAGAGCCACTGCCATCAGAGCTCTCTTTGAGAGCCAAAACAGAACCCCAGTGAGGCATTCTTCTGCTTTAAAAGGAGAAAAGGCAGAGCCTCCAGGTGCGCCAGCCTTAAAACAGTAAAAAAAAAAAATGGCTACAAGAACACTGTATCCCCACATAAGTCACTGGGTCCCACATAATCCACTGCTAGACTGTGAAAGTGGAGAGCTGGAAAATGTGGGTCTGTGCCATTCTCAATGGTTTGGAAGACATCAGGGACGTCATCCCTAGGTTAAGAACAAATCATCCATAAAAACCTTACAAAAAAAAAACAAAAAAAGGGCAGTCAAATCATCAAACCAACCCCAAAACACTTATTTATGAAAAAAAAAAAAAGTATATCAGGAAAACAAAAAAAATCACTATGAAAAATCTAATATAGATAAAAAAAAAACAAATCCAAGACTTAGAATTTTAAAAAGATTAAACTTACGGATAATTTATGCCTCCTTAATCAATTATTCAAGTATTCTTGACAATAACAAAAAAGCAAGAAGTAATTCAGAAAAAAAAAAAGTGGTAAATGTGCCATTATAACAGAGTGAATACTTAATTTTTTAATCTGAAAAAAAAAAAAAGATTAACTGTAATGTTATAAAGAATGATATTTTAGAAATGATATTTTTAAAAAAAAAAAAAACATTATTATTTTTTTAAAAGAATAAAAGAGATAATAAAATGACCTACAGAAAAAAAAAAAAAAAATATCTTTCTGCCCCCAAATACTAACTGTAGTACACTGGAATGCTGTTAGAGTAGAAGTGTTAGCAAAATTGGATGCCACAACTTATCTCACCATTCCTTTCAAGCAAAAAAAAAAAAGAATGTTTCTTGCCTATATCTGCAAAAGATCGAACAAGGGGAATCCGACTAAAAAAAAAATTCTCATTCTGATGATGATGTCTCTTCAGAAGAGCTTCTCTGACATTCTCTAAAAAAAAAACATCCAATTGGCCAGAGGCTATCATGTTGTCCAATACCATATCTATTGAAAAAAAAAAAAAAGCCGTTTTTATTAAATAAACGAGTACTTGGATGAATATAACATAAACCATAAAAAAAAAATGAAACCTTACTGAAAAATAAGATCTTTAAATAGTTCTCTAGAAAATATTAAAAAAAAAAAACACTGAATAATGTATGCATAAAGATAAATATGTGCTGGAGGGGAGGTGGGAAAAAAAAAATTAACTGGGTGATGGGCATTAAGGAGGGCACTTGATGTAATGAGCACTGGGAAAAAAAAAAAACTGATGAATCACTAATTCTATCCCTGAAAGTAATAATACTCTATATGTTAAAAAAAAAAAATTTAAATGGGGGGGAGAGAAAGAGAAAAAAAAGATAAATATGAACATTATCTAAGAAAAATAAATAAGTTACATGGTGACCCCTAGTTTTTATAAGTACTGTTATTTATAAAAAAAAAAATGTTCTACACTAATAGCCGTCCAATAGTTGAAAGTGCTTTCCTGATATGGAAAAAAAAAAATCTATTAAACTCAATATTCAATAATATTGGCTTCCTAAGAATTGAAGGTATTTTATTGCCTCACTTCATATTTTTTGTCAAAACTATAGATGAGTATTGGACTCCTTCATTCAATAATTAATTATTTACTGAGTACCTATTATATGTTGGGAATACAGAATTTAACTAAGTAGAAAAAAAAAACGCTCTCACTCTTCCAGAGGTAGAAAAACCAATGAGCAAATGGAAGGCTAAAAAAAAAAAAAGTAATAAATTCTAGGAAGATGAAGATATCACGCTGTGAAGGGGGTATGGGAAAAAAAAAAACTGATGTAATGCCATATGATACATTATTGTAGTGATTGGACTATTTTTAACCTATCAAATATATATAAATATTTTAAAACAGTGCCACTAATTTGAGATAAAAGAGTCAAGCTTTCAAACATATGAGATTCCTCTGAGAGAAAACTGGAATCAACCTAACAGGTAAACTGTAACCTTAACACAACAACTACAGACTACCATACAAAGGGACCTTGGATTAGAAGATATTACATAAAAAAAAAATTAAAATATTACATTGTATTATGTGATAATTGCAAAGCCAGAGTAAACGTCAAAAAAAAAACTTCAAGAAATCTGTATACTCACAGGGAACTGACTTTCATGTGAGATCCACACCTGCCTACACTTTCTAGACCCTTCTTCCTTCTCTTCCTCCTCCTTAGAATACTTTTTCCAAAAAAAAAATGCTCCTTCTTCTCATGTGTTCAAAGTCTATAAATAAGTAGTAAATAAGTAGTACATTTAATGTCCTTGTTGACCTTCCCCAGATACCTTGGTCCAGAAACTGAAGAAACAAAAGGTTCTTTTCTCTACATTTCCAGAAACAGACTGCGTATCTTGCTGATGGCACTAGTCACAAAAAAAAAAGTACTGTAGTTGTGCCTGTCTAGCTTAATCTTCTAGACTCTAAATTTATTAAAAAAAAAAAGTACTCCTCATACTGTCCTACAGAGGATGGAAGTTCAACACAGAGCAGTTAAGTCAATGGTCTAAAATCCCACTTCATTTTCCTTATTACATTAAATATTACAAATTAAATAAAAAAAAAAACAAACTGCTATAACCTGCTATTTCATCTAGGGTGCTTGCTCTCATGTCCAGCATCACTGTTCCATTTAGGATGCAACTTCTTAGTTCAAAAAGACTGTGCAAAGAGAGAGTTAAAAAAAAAAGTTTACTCCATCGGTCACCGCCATCTTCAACATCCTCTTCAAATTTCAGCCAAAAAAAAAATATAACACATAAAAATATTTTGTAAATAATGAAGATTTCATTTGCTTATTTAAAAAAAAAAAACATACACTTGTTCTTTTAAAGAGAAACAAAGATCACCACTACCAACACAAAAAAAAAAAACAATCATTTTTACAAATCAAGCTAATGGTCCACTCTACTCACAAGTTACAAAAAAAAAAATTCCTCCTTCTATTCTAGCTGTCATAATAAGTCTACAAAGACACACTATGGAACTTTGTGATTTCCACTGCTAATCCTCTTTTAAACTGAAAATATGTAGCAGGACCTTGATAAAAAAAAAATATTTCTCTAATTAAAGACATTAAAATGTATAATTAACATAATTCCTTCTAAAAAAAAAAAAAGTGGTAAGGATTACTTAAGAAAATGATTTTTGAGAATAAAGAGATAAACAAAAAAAAAAGCTTCCAGACAAGAGGAAATTCTCTTCTCATTATTTTAAAGTACCCGGTAAAAAAAAAAAACATTATTATTTACAATACAAGAAAAAAATCAAGAAAAGCCAACTAAATACTAAAAAAAAAAATTATTACCTGGCAGTTTCTTTCCACTCATACTCTTCTCCATCTCTATAACACAGTTCATCCATTTCCGTAAAGAGATCATGCGGAATGTGCTCTTCATCATCATCTTCAGTAAAAAAAAAAAACTGAACTCTTTGGGATGGTGTGTCTTGACAAAAGAATTTAAATACACTCAAAAAAAAAAGCAATTCATTCAAAGATAAATTCACTTTGAAAGTGAGATGCTTTTGATATAAAAAAAAAAACATCAAAACTCTTTTATTAAAATACTATAAATCTGGAAGCAAACAAGGACCAACAATCCAGAATCAAAGAGTATCACAGAGAGATCACCTCCACAGACAAAACAGAACAATTATATGTTAAACAAGTGAGGGGTGCCTGGCTGGCTCAGTCAGTAGAGCATGTGACTCTTGATAAAAAAAAAATAAGTTTGAGCCCCATATTGGGTGCAGAGATTACTTAAAAATAAAATCTTTAAAAAATAAATACATTTAAAAAATAAGTGAAACTAATCTTATAACTAACTGATATAAAAACAAAAAAAAAAACGCAATATCTGAAAACATGGAACACTATACTCAAAGATAGGACTTTTTTCTCACTAAAAATGTAAGAAAATGTAGGACAAAACAGAAATTTTAAAAATATGTAATTAATATAAAAAAAAAATCAAAACTGAAAAAGGAAATTCTCCCAACTTCCAAAAAATGATGAGAAAAAAAAAAAAAAAGGGTATACAGAAACTGGCTTTTTGTACTATCACAGAGAAGCAAAACTCTGTAAAAAAAAAATAGAGAGGCAGGACAAATCACTATTATGAAAGAGAATCCCCACACTCATGGCATCTGAATTTAAACTACTTACCTATACAGTATAGGGTCCCTAGAAAAATTAGTATAAATTAAAAAAAAAACACCTATCCTAGTGACCATACTTACAGTTTGGTAGATAGCATTCTATAAAAAAAAAAAAAACCCTTTTATTTACATCAATTAGAGAAGCATAATGATCTACTCAGAATAGCGAAAAAAAAAATAAATTGGATGGATGCATCATACAGAACAGCAAAATAGTTCTAAATTACTTAATATCATCCAAGTCCACCAGTGATCCTTTCTGAAATTAGTACTGGCTCTTCCTTGGCTACAAAAAAAAAATTTGTTAATTATGTGACCACTTAATATAGGCCATCGTGTACTAGACCATGTAAAAAAAAAAAGTACAGGCTTTTAAGAGATTCCCATCACATTTAGTCTCTCTAAGCTGAAGAAAAAAAAAATACAAAATTAAAACAATACCCATCTTTTAAATAATGCAGAGAGGGATAAAGAAGATGCGGTATACATACAATGGAATATTGTTCAGCCATAAAAAAGAATGAAATCTTGCCACTGGCAATGACATGGATGGAGCTAGATATAATGCTAAGCAAAATAAGTCAGTCAGAGAAAAATAAATACCATATGATTTCACTCATATGTGGAATTTAAGAAACAAAACAAATGAGGAAAGAGAAAAAAAGAGCAAAAGACAAACCAAGAAACTGACTCTTAACTACAGAGAACAAACTGATGGTTACCAAAAGGGAAGTGGGTAGCGGATGGGTAATAGGTGATGGGGATTAAGGAGTGCATTAAAAAAAAAAAGCACCAGGTGTTGTATGGAACTGCTGAATCACTATATCATACACCTAAAAAAAAAAAAAAACTGTATGTTAAGTAACTGGAATTAAAATTAAAATTTAAAAAAATAAAATAAGTGCAGAGAGAATTAAATGAAAGAGCATATGTTAAGGGCTTGGTGGAATGCTTAGCATAGAAAAAAAAAATAATATATTACTATTTTCTTACGTTCATGTTGTAGCTATATGACCCATAGGATTCTTTCCCTCTTCATCACAAAAGCATTCCTTTAGCATAGCACACAAGTGCCTACAAGTAAAAAAAAAAAAACTTTGCTAGAATGCACACATTAGAACCCATGGTGTAGAGATGGCCATATAGACGCATGATGTCCTAAAAAAAATAATGACGCCTTATATGTCCACTAACTGCAATGTCCTAAGAGTCTTCCTCAGGCTGTACAGCTATTTCTTTTTGGCTCTCACCATTCGCATGTCTCAGAAAAAAAAAAATCAGTGCTATCAATATTTATTATCAGATAACATTCTCTTTCCTCTACAATATGCCTTTTTTCTTTCTGATTTCCTCTTTCTATGGGCACTTCTGTATTTCTCTGCTTTCAAAAAAAAAAAAGTCCTTTCACAGACAGTACTATCAAATCAGAGCACTTTTTTGCACAGATAACCAAGGAGTTCAACTTAGTGGATAAAATTTTCCAGCCAAAAAATGTGTTTAAAAATGGAAAAAAAAAAAAACTCATCCAGGAGCCTGAAGATTCCAGATATTTGTTCATTCCACATATAAATAAAAAAAAAAATAATAGAGAAAAAATACTATTATTTCAATTAGTATATTCCTTGAAGAAAAAAAAAAAAAACAATTACTATATTCTTCAAGGTTTATAATGTGTCTAAATTGTAGCAGACATAAAATTTAAGAAAGAAAATATTCTACTTTTTTAACAAGCCTTTTCAGGAAAGAATTCTAAGAAAAAAAAAAAGAACTACTGTTTTCTCTTACCATAAGAAGGAGACTCCCGTCCATCTTCTTAAAAAAAAAATTTATCTTTTCTTCTTCGGTGGTGATGTTTGTGTCCACGATGCCTATGACGAAAAAAAAAATCTTTACTAAATGGGACATGAACACCAATATAGACAGCTCGATGACCTAGCAAAAAAAAAAGAAACATTACTGATTTTCCAAAAAGGAAAGAATATACGAAAGTATACCAAATTTTACTTTGATAAAAAAGAATTATATTTAGGCTCATGTAATTAACAATGCTATATTTCCTAAAAAAAAAATTTATAGAACACTAAATAGAATGCGATGTCATGGGTTAATACCACTAACTGAAAAAAAAAATTACTTATGTAAGCATTACTTTGGCAAGCCTAAAAAGGCATTTTGGGAAAGAAAAAAAAAACCTTTCTGAAATCATACTACATAGTCATAAATTTATTCCATCTACATTTTGATGTCAACCCTAGTTAACAGAGATCCTTAAGAGATATGTTTTAATGATAATTAAATACCTTAAAAAAAAAATTCATAAGCAGATATTTGTAAATATTTATTAATTACAGTTTTGGAAATCCCAAATCAGCAAGGTCCAAATTACTGAAAGCTACATTAAATGTAAATGATCCAAATACTCCAAAAAAAAAAAATAAATTGTCAGACTGGTTGGGGAAAGCAATATAATTAGGTTATCATATGCTAAAAAAAAAATAAAAAGCTACTGCTGATGTTGCACGATTCTCAATTTGTATTGTAACCAACAAAAAAAAAATGAAAGGCATTCTCTGCTTTTGTCCACTAAATAAAACTTATAATCAAGGAACTAGAAAGCTAGCAGCACTATGTCAAATACTGAGGCATGAACTTGATTTCTTAAATAGTTTAAAAAAAAAAACTATCTAAGCTACGTGGAGTGAAAGGGGTGGTGGGCTACAAGTTCAACTAATTTGCAACTACGCAAAAGCCTCTGGCATGGAGCTGCTTTTTGCCCTTATGTCCTTTAAAAAGTGACATGCTGAAATATGAATAGTTAATGGCATTCTTTTCCTAACAAATTCCATAAGATGGTCAGAAAATAAATACCTCAAGAAACTCAAGATCTTCATCTTTAGATGAGATTTGAAAGTAAAAAAAAAAATCATTATTTGTGAATTCTTTATTTTCAAATTTGCCAATTTGCCAAAATTCAAAAAAAAAAACAAAATCAATACTCATGGCAATTCTGCAGTCATTTACAAATATCCAGGGCAGCAAAAAAATTTGAATTGCCCGAAACACACATACCCAGCTAAGTTTGAAAAAGGTGACACTCTTGATTTCTTGCTTCAGTTACCAACATAGTAATATCAATAAACTAAATAATTACATTTAAAAAAAAAAAAAACTAGACCTATAGATATACAATGAACTAAAATTATTTGCTTTAACATCTTAAAAAAAAAAGCACTCTGCCTAGTATACAGTAGGCACTAGATTAAAAAAAAACTATAGAAAAAAAAAAAAAATTATTTTTTTTTAATTTTACCAGAAAATCCCAAAATTAAAAATCAATTATAAAAAAAAAAGGGAGAGGATGATGGAAATGTTCTAGAATTAGAGTGGTGATGGTTGCACAAAAAAAAAAAAATACCTTAAAAAAATTAACTATACACTTTAAAATGGTGAAATTTATGTTAAAAAAAAAAAATATCAATAAGAAAACTAAAAAAATTATAACAAAACTCAGTGATATTACTATAAAAAAAAAATGAAACTATTTTCTTCTGAATATTACAGAAAAGTGGAAATTAAAGAGTCAAATTCTCATCACTGTGCACTGGGAATTACAAAGTACTCCAATTAGAACTAATGGGTTCTGGCACATAGCCCCAATGCACCAAAATAAAAATAAATTATAGGAGTTTCCAATTTAGAAAGAATAAACAGGAATATGAAAATCCAAGCCTTACTGCTTATTTAGCTTTTATTATCAACCTTAGTGTTCTTTCTTATGATTTTTTTCTTTCCTTTTTCTTTAACCTTTACTCTGTCAAAGAGCTATTCAAAAAAAAAATGAGATAAACATAATCTCTCCCTCAAACCCAATACTGAAATTTAGATATGTACCACGTACACAAAGCTAAAGGCTCTGGGGTAACAAAGGGAAGCAAAAAAACATACCCAATAAAAAAAAAAACGTTCTAGGTTGCACATATTTGAAGGGTAACATATGCTAAGTGATTTGAAAAAAAAAAAATATTGCTAAACATTTTAACTTCCCTAGCACCTGGAATTCACAGAATCTAACAAAAAAAAAATAGATAACTGAGGTTCCTTTCAGAAGCCCTAGGAAGCCTAGATTTTTAAAGACAATTTTAAAAGACAGGGCTTTCTTCCATCTCACAAAGTAAATATGAAGAACACTTATTTGCCTCTTTCCATCGCCTTTTTAAAGGCAACAGATTACTGCCCCTATATGGTACCAGCTTTTAAAAAAAAAATTAACTTCATAAAAATGTAGTTCTCAAGACCCCAAAAGTCTATCAAAACATTTGCCATGAACATCATCCTAACCGAGTGTTCAAGGTTAAATCACTAATAAGTCACACTGATAAAAAAAAAACTCAGATATGATACACTGAAAAGAGCACACCACTTCCATGGTATGCTTCCCAAATATCCATAATCTCAGTCTGTTCATATGATAACATAAGCAAATCCAAACTTAGAGACATAAAAAAAAAAAACTAACCACTACCCTTCAAACACGTCAAGGTCATGAAAATCAAGGAAAGAAAAAAAAAAAGTCACAGAGGAGACTAAGGAGATGAGACAACTAAATGTACTATTGGATCCGAAAAAAAAAACTGGATCCTGGAACATAACACGGACATCAATAGAAAACCGGTGAAATATGAAAAAAAAAAAGTCTAGTTAATACAACTGTACTGATGTTAATTAATTTCTTCATTTTCGTTAACTTTTGATGGTTATGTAAAATGTTAAAATTTTAAAAAGCTGCGTGAAGGATAACAGGAACAAAAAAAAAACTATCTTTGCAACTCTTCTGTAAATCAAAAATTATTTCAATCAGAAGGAAAAAAAAAGAGAGAAGAAACCATTTGCCAGGACTTCTTCCTAGTAGACTGATATATAATTCATAAAAAAAAAAATTCTATGCTGATATCATAGCACTTGAAAAGGCTGATGTAACTTAACTATAAAAAAAAAAATTATATGACTAGTAATAACTGTGGCTTATTAGTCTGACATTCTGAAATGCTAAAAACCTATTACCTAGCCTGCTAGAAATGAAAAAAATAAAAGAATCAACTGACTTTTTAAAAAAAAAAAATTAATTTCCAAGGTAAGTAATGGCAACCACCAACAAAATCTGAAAAGCACAGATTCTAGGAGCACCTGGTTGGCTCAGTCAGTTAAGCATCCGACTCTTGATTTCAGCTCAGGTCATGATCTCAGCGTCATAAGATTGAGCCCTACGTCAGGCTCCACACTGAGCATGGAGTCTCCTTGAGATTCTCCCTCTCCCTCTGCCCCATGCCCCCCACCCCCACTCATGCTCTCCCTCAAAAAAAAAAAAAAAAAAAGCACAGATTCTAAAATCTTTGTTATATCAATACTTTCAACAAAAAAAAAAAAAGGAATATCGTAACTGCAGATATGAGCATGGTTACATGGGTGTTTGCTATAAAAAAAAAAAAAATTATATTTAGAAAAGTGTTAAACGTTCTTTCAAATCTACACTCTACCTCATAACAACAAAAAGTTTCCACAAATAGCAGGTAAAATTTAAAGCACACTAACAAACTTTCATCAGTAATTTATCCCGTTAAGCTAAGTTAAACTTACTTTCTAGTTCTTCTTTTTCAAACTAAAAAAAAAAAGTTGAGCTGGTTTTACCAAGATCCACAACAGCTTCTTCATCAGGACCCTAAAAAGAAATTATTCTCATTTACTCATGACATCAAATATATACTAAGAACCTACTAATAGGGAAAAAAAAAAAAATAGTCAAAAAGTAAGTAACAGATTGCCTTCCTCTCAAAGAAGCTAACTATAAGCTAACTAATTATAGCTAACTGCATTCTTTTTTAAAGTAGGCTTATAGGTTTTTTTTAAAAAAAAAAAGACTATTCAAAAATTTCATGGTAGGAACTGAGGTGACAATTTTTAATTGGAAAAAAAAAAAAGTTACTAAGTAACTGGTACATGCATTTACTACAACAGAAAGACAATCCAGATGAGCAATTAGAGAAAATTGGGGGTGAGGGAAACCCTTATTTATCAATATGGAATGCTTAAAAAAAAAATCTTTGCTCTTAGGTCCCCTAATTAAAAGGAAACACTTAACTCAGCTATACAAAAAAAAAATATGGTTCCACATAAAATGGTCAAAAATGAGTCTATAGACTAAACATGTAGAAAAAAAAAATCGTAAATTAACCAAGAGCCAATCAAAGTTATAAGAACTTTTATTTCTACAAAAAAAAAAACACAGCAAAATTTAACCTTTAGGGAGGTTCTAACTTTGAGTTGTCTAAGTCAAAAAAAAAAATTTTGTTCCCGTCTCCAGCTCAACAAAAAGAAATGTATTTTTGTAAAATAAAAAAAAAAATATTTTTAAAAGAATAAAATTTTAGCTTTACCTTCCCTTCCCAACTTCTAAAAAAAAAAAAAAAGGAATAGTAGTATGCTCAAGATTCTGTGGCACAGATATAAACAGATGAGCAAATTCCTTCCCTCAAAAAGGCTTCAATTTGAGTTGTAGCCCATTCTGAGCCCTTGCCCAAAAAAAAAAAGCTGTAGCTGTGCAAGGAAACCTCGCCAACCTTCACGATTGTTAGGAGGCAAAAAAAAAAGTCCAATACAACTACCACAACGTGTCTCAACAGGTGCACCCTGACTGGGTGAAAAAAAAAAACATCCTCAGGAAAGTCTATTCCATTCTAAGACTAGAGAACAGTGTACAATAAAAAAAAAACAGTGAACAAGGACTCTGCCATGTTCAACAAAGCCAGGGACTGGGGAGACATACTGGAGAAGACATTCAAGAGTTTGGAAAGATATACAGAGGTTCTGAGAAGAGCTGGCAAAAAAAAAAAAGCCTATCTAACTTCAAGAGTGACACAGATCAGCTCACACAGTCTATGCTGTATGTGCAGTATGCTGAAGAACCCAGGATATGGAACCTCATGCAGCAAATTAATCACACCAGAAAAAAAAAATCCTCTAATGCTGTCAAGGAATCAATGCAAAAGATTAATGCAAGGAAAAGGAAAAAAAAAAAAGAGGCTAAAGATCTATAAATGACCTGGAAGGAGCTGGGGGGCTTGATGAAGAAAGAAGTGGATAACCTGAAACCAGTGTTCTAAGCAGGCAAAAGGATGGGCAACAGGAAATGGACAATGTTCTGGCTCAGATGGAATCAAAGTACTACAAACCTTCCAAAGGAGAAAAGGAAAGAGCTTTCAAAAAAGAAAATAAATAATCTAATTCAATCTCTTTAAAGGTCGTTATGCTATAACTGGTACTTCTGCAGGCCACAGAGACAACCGGAGATAAGAGAATTAAATAATAGAATAAAAAAAAAAACATTAATTACATTAATACCCCACTGAATATTATTTTTCTAGAATACAGTTACATTTTTTGTCTATCTAATTATAGTACTTTTCAAATTTTGCAAGACACATTTTCAGCCATAAAAAAAAAATGGCTGGTCTTATTGTCCAGGATCTCCTCTAACATTTAGAACAATAAACCAGAAAGAACACAGCTTCTAACCAATTTCAATGTCTAAGCATAAACTGGAAGACTATTTAAGAAAAAAAAAAATAGGAGGTTGGTTAAGATGCTCTATTAACGTCTCCTCCAACTTTTGATCTAAAAAAAAAAATGTTTGTGTATAGCTTTTTTCAATGTCTACAAAGTAGATTCGTATACAAATAAAAAAAAAAATCCAAATTCTGTGTCTAAATTCTCCAACCTTTAAATTCAGGAACTGAATCAAAAAAAAAACCTTTTTGTACAAATCCCCTGCTATCCAAAATCTATTTGCTTCCCAAAATTAAAAAAAAAACACAATACATTAAGACAATGCAGATCTCTTGATATCCAAATTTACTTTCTGAAAAAAAAAAATCCAAATATATAATCAAATAGAGTTGAGTATCAAGAAGTTGTTGTATAAAAAAAAAAAAAATTGGTGTTCAATTTAATAAAGAAAACGCAGAGAAGTCAAATGACTCGCTAAGGCTCCATATCTACAGGAGTGGGAAACAGACTGTGTATTTTCATATAATGGACTAAGAAAAAAAAAAAAAAACAATATGGGTGGTTCATCAAACTGCCTCACAACAATCAAACGCCAATAGAAAAAAAAAAAGGCTAAAGTAGGAAACACAAAAATATACACGTAGACCCCTACACACACACAAAAAAAAAAAAAAAAAACCCACAAGAAAGTATAATTAGTAAGCATGTCATACTCTAAAACAAAAAAAAAACCTCCAGTGATTTCAAGCACAGGTACAAGACAAGCAGTCTCCTACAAGACAAAAAAAAAAAGAAGTAGCATACTGTATATTCTAAAAGGGATTAACTGCTCCCATTCTAAACTTTCATTAGCAGGAACGCTCGCTAAGATAGGAAGCAAAACAATACATTTTTCTCTTACCCCAAAAAAAAAAAAACCCTTTTATTTCTACAGATATACTTACATGTTTAGATGTACTAACAACAAAAAAAAAAAACACTCAAAAACAGCTTAAGTTGGACATCTAAACATCTACCATACAAAAAAAAAAAAAAAATGTGCAAAAAGTGGCATGCCGAAAAAAGGCTGTCCTCTCATGGCCCACCCAGCTTGCTCCCATTGAATCGTGTCTGTGAAGCTTTAAGTAAGTCACTTAACTTAAAGCCAAAAAAAAAAAAACTTTACTGTGACTGACTAGGTTTTCAATAAGAATGTTCTCACGTGTAACTAAAAAAAAAAACTAAAGTTCAAATTTTAAGAGTACAAGAAACTTACAGGATTAGCACTGTAAAGAAGGGGGGAGAGCATCTGCATTTCTCCCTTCTCTTAAAAACTTTTTGTAGCTTTTCAACAACTGTAGCTTTTCAATCAACCATTTTGATTCATGTGAAACATGAATCAAAAAGGCAATCAAAAAAAAAAGCAAACATTAAGTAGGCCACACAAATTGGTCATCCTGACATATTACAAGTAATTCAACAAAGTCTGCAGGTTGCATATGACTATATATTGAAAATCCCTTAGAACAAAGCCAAAAAAAAAAAAAGGGGACAATTCATTTCTGAAACAAACATACTGCGCTTTAAATCCTATCATTTTAGGATAATGCCTCAGTCCATATTTCTAAATAGATGTTTATACTATATAAAGTACATTAAAAAAAAAAAAAGTATATACAAAAAATGTATTACATAGTAATAAATATTTGGAAGGCTAACCTTCAAACTAACACTGTCTCACATTGATGATTAGGAAAGCAGTAACACAGAAACAATCAAAAAAAAAAAATTTTGTCGTTGTTACAAACACATTTAACTTTAGTAATTTAAAAAGAATAAAAAAAAAAAAAAATCTGTTAATGTCAGTTTTTATATTTGCATCTAGAAAAAACTTCATTTTTTAACTCCAAGAATATAGTGGAAAACTAAAAATAGTCAGCAAAGAACAACCCCTGACATCAAAAAAAAAAAATTCTTAACATCAGATGAGTAATGTAAGCCAATGCCTATTAAGCCTTCCTAAAAAAAAAAAATGCCAAGGCACTGAGAAAATTCAAATACATGGAAGAATAAAAAAGCACCCAAAAAAAAAAAGTATAAGACTGACTCACTCTAATCTTAAAATTATTTGCCTTGGTTTGAATTTTCTGTTCAATTTCTACTTATAAAATAAGGTTACTAACCAGATTATAAGTGCTCCATAACAAAAAAAAAAAAAAAAATTAGCCATATAAGATCACAAAGAAAGTTTAAATTCTCTGTGTATGAAAAAAAAAATGCACAAGGTTATTTATTACAGCTTATAACAGGAAAAGACTGGACACAATCAAAAAAAAAATTAACAGAGGAATGGCTATGCCAATGGAATACCAAGTTATGGACAAATGGAAAAAAAAAAAAGGCTTCTACTTGAAATTACAAATCACAAATATCTATTTTATTATTTCTATAAAAAAAAAAAATCATTCCAAGTTCCAAATCAGTATACACACACACCAAAAAACCCATATGAAAAAAAAAATTTAGGGTTATCAAATAGTATATGGTTACTGAAATAAGGTCCAGTAGGTGCAAAAAAAAAATTCTGCATCTCCAGTCAGCATAAGGTTATCATTACTTGGGTTCCATTGCAGAAAAAAAAAAAAAACCAACAGGAGACAGCCAGAAAATCCCTCAGCATATGGTCAGTTTGCCTCTTCTTCCCCTAGATAATACCCTCGTTCCCCATAAATACAATAGTTCATGAAAGAAGTTTAAAAAAAAAAAAGGACTAGGAATTAAGGAACTCATCCATTCTTTCAACAAATATTTACTGAGTACATACTATATGCCAAGCATTATTCAGGTACCAGGGATAGATCAGTGAATGAGAAACTGAAAAAAAAAAAAATTTCCAGCTTAACAGTTAATTTACAGCTAAGTGGCTCCCCATGATAAAAAAAAAAAAACTGGAGGTAAATTAATTCTCTTTTCCATTCCTAATCTTAATGAATGAGACCAAAAAAAAAAATAGGTATCAACAGGCTTTACTTTTTCAGTTCAATATCCAGATTTTATACAAAAAAAAAAAACACACACACACACACACACACACACACACACACACACACACACACACAAAAAAAAAAAAACATAAGATTACACTGTTAGCTGGTCAAAGAACTGAAATTAAAAGCCAGGTCAAAAAAAAAACCCAGT